ACAGTTGGGCGGAGACGGAGACGAGGGAGGGCAAGGATGGCAAATATGTTGGGTCTAGACGGTGGATCAGCTTCAGGAAGAATAAGGAGATTCCGAAGGCGGCGGGCGGTGGCGACGGCGGCGGCCGTGATGTCAGGAGGGGCGACGGAGGCACAAGGGTGAAGATCACGAGGTTTAGGAGTAGAAGAAGCCTTTTTGGAACCTCGACTTCAAAATCGCACTTCATTGTAAGTCTTCAATATCTTTCTTTTCACTATTTCAAATCTCGTTTTTCCTCTTTGACAAAACACACGATAACATTTCTACACGGATCATTTTGGTCTCTGAATTTCAAGTCAAAATTATTTTTGAGGTTGGAAGTTAAATCTTTGTCAAAGAATATCATGTAAGCTCATCAAAATGTAAGACAATTTTAAGTTAATTATCGTTGGATCTAAATGAACTATTCAATATAAAGGAGACATAATTGAAAATTGTAATTAGGATTGATTTAGTCTATAGTTTATACTTTATTGTAATTCAGTAAAACTAAAAGTAGCTTTTCTTTGGGGGTTGTAAATGACGGCAGGCGAGCATTTATGGAAGCTTGAAGCAAGTGATTCCATGGAGACGCAAGCAAGACGATATGAGAAAAGTATCAGAATGATCATATAAAAGCAAAATAGGAATCTTAACCATCGAAATATAAATAATAATATAATTACAAACTTTTTCAAATATGTTATTATAGTTACCTCTCCTTGTTTGTTCTGTTTGTTTACTGGTATAGGCTCCTGTGTAAATATCCTGGCTAATATAATTATACTGCTTATTCTGATTTCTGTCTCTCTCTTCATTTTTCAAGATATCCATTTTAATTTTCAAGTTTAAATACTATTTTTGTCCGTCTACGTTTAGCTTGCACATCTTTTTATTGCTAGCTTCAGCCGCATAAATGAAGGAATATGGTTCCATACCGCACAAGACCTCTCTTCCTACATTAAGGTATTACCATGCCAACGAACTTGCAGAGCTCTCGTACCAAAAAAAGTAATCGATTCGATAAGCCAACATATCTGACACTAATTTTTATTTTTACTTTTTTTTTTTGTAAATAATAGAACAAAAAATCATCAAAGCAAATGGATTAAAGTGGACACTTTAAATAAGAGACCAAAATGAATCAAAATCGAAGATAGAACCTAAACTATATAAACTCAACCATCATCCTGATAAAAGTGAGGATAAAAAATAAAAATGGAGAGAATGATTGCGGGACTAATTCTTTTCATTAAACCATATGCAGCTGCAATTTGAGTATATTGTCCTAATTAATCTACATGTGTGTGTATAACATGCAAAAAGAACAACTATCAGTCAATCTTCTCAATTTTAGTTTCAAAAAGGTGTGTTCTTTTTTGCCTCACTATACAACAAATTAAAGTTAGTGAAGAGTTGCAAAACTATTATTATTGGACCTTCTCTTCTTATAATTTGCCTTGAAACAAGCTTGCCTGAGCCTCTTGGTTCTGTGTGTGAGGTCCATATCTGGCAATTCTTCCACGAGCCTCTTGTGCTCCTCCAACACTTTAATCTCACTTGACAACCCCATCTCCTGCACTTCAAATTGCACTAATAAACAATGACAACCCAAATACATAAATCAAAAGAACACACACAAGGTTAGCTGTTTGATCTCAATATATATACCTTGACATTTTTTATGAGAGAGTTCAAGCTCTTGAGCTTTCTATGGGGCCACCTCATGATATTGAGCTCTCTGCACCTCTTTTTGAGCACTGTCAAACCCACATTCATCTGTTTTGCTGCCTCTGATATTGGGATGTGAAAGTGGTTTTGAATCTCTTCCAAACCCAGCACTGAGCTCTTTGATCTCCTCAATCTCATATTATTCCTCCTCTTCTTCTCATCAACGTCTGATATCCAACTTGAATCACTATTAAACCCTCTTTCAATTTGCTCACGTTGTTGTTGTTGTTCATGCTGCCCTTCCTCATATTCTAATTTTATCATCCTCGCCGGCGGCTTCTCGTCGGCCGTCATGTGTTTGTCCGGCGAGAAAAATTCAGGCGGACTTTGGAGCTCCAACTCCAACTGGGAAAGATTCTCCCAATGGAATGGCAATGAAAGCGAGTCGGCCAAGTCGAAGTCGAATAACCCAACATCCAGAGGAGGAAGCTCTAGTGCTCTGTGGAGTGGAGTACACAAACAAAACTTCAAATTAAGCAAAACCCGATTCATGAAAATGGATTTTAGACGAACCCATAACGTAAAATTTTCATTTTGATTAATGGGCATTTTAATATATTTCTCCCCTGTTTTCTCGAGAAACAAACAGGGTCTCGGTGGGAGAAAATATTGTTGTTATTGTTGTGTTTTTTGGTACTTACTTGTCGAATTGGAAAAGATCTTCGTGATATGGCCATTCGAAATCGAGTGGATTATTGTGGAGTTTGCTGCTAGACTCCATGGCCATGAATACGAAGAATCTATGATCGATAATGGTGGGAACTAGAGAGAGAGTGTACGTGTGAATAAGAGGTTTATTGGAGAGAAACGAAAGAAAAGAGTATAAATAAATAAATGAATTTAGAGGGGGAATTAAGGGGAAGGAGGAGGATTTTAGTAGTTCGTGCAAATGTTTATGGGGAGTTACAATTCCAATGAAAATGGATTAAATATGACATTAAATTGTTGAAACAATTACCAATCAACAAAAAAGGGGGGCTGCGTCAGCATTATCCATTCTTTTTAATTGCTCTCTCTCTCTCTAAACTCCAAACCAACCTGCCCTTTCATGCATATTCGTACCATGCAAATGCTTTGTGAACATGAATTACAAATGCTTTGTGATTTTGGTGAGTTTATACCATACCCTTCGCATAACTCGAATGGTTAAGTGTTATTATTTTTCGTTAATATATGAGTTTCGATAGTCAAAGCATCTTTACTAATAAGTTAGTATCTGTATTCTATAATTAAAAAACTTGTAAATATATCTTCTTCAAATTTGTGTAATTTTCATCCAAAATTTAAGTAGCGCCATATGTAAAAAAAGTGTTCAACTATATCAATTTTCGATTTCTTTAATTGGACTAGGCTCGGCTTTATCATATAATTGATTAGGACTTATTTATAGCGAACATGACATAGTGTCAAATATATATCATCTATCAAAATGTTAAAGGCTTTTGTTGAACTCAAAAAAGATTAATTATAATTTTTTTTTGGACATTACTTAGAACTACTTTGTAAAAATATTAATACATTACCAATAAAAAAGAAAGTAGATTAGATCTACAACCCATATGATAAAATAAAATAAAAATGTTTGTAATATGTATATGATAATTAATAAGCATATAACTCTCATTTTCTTAGGAAATAATGAATTTTTTCTTGGGTTTTGGGCATTGATGCCTACACATTAGGGCATCATAAATTTCCCAATTCACGTGGCTAAGTGGGTTTTAACTTTTAATATTAGAAGCAGAATGAGCACCAAATTCCTTTAAAATGCAACCGAAAACCATAAGATTAATATCTTAAAATCGTGGCTTTGGCTGTTTCACTAAATTTATTTATTGCCAAAGTGTAACTTAATTAATCATTAGTATATTTATGGCATAAAATATCATTAGTACTTTAATTTGGTTAATACAAGCGATGATCCATGCTCTCATTAAATTCACTGCTTACTTACTGCCCCACGTTGGGGCAAATTTAATTAACATTCAAATGTAATTTACGAAGTTAGAAAAGGGTATTCTAAAGTGGCAATGAGAATAGCAACTTATTTAATTTTTTTTAGTAGGAAATTCGAACTCATTCCCTCTTAATTAGAGAAGTTTGGGCCTCTAAAACTTAGAGACATTGTACAAATTATGATCTAAGCTAAACTCGTATAGTCAATATATTACGTTTAATATTTAAGGGATGGTTTTGATAGTGAGATAGTGTGAGGGGCATTTATGAAAATTTATCTTTATATAGCCCATGGGCCATGTTACTCTAGCTGGTAAATGATTTGGGCCTCAAAAACCCATATATGGAGAAGTTCAAAGCCCACGTTGACTCTTGGTCTAGGACATGGGCCGGTTCAGGGACGCGCCTGTGTACGAAACTGGGAATATTCCATCTTCCACGTGGGACCCATCATCACCGCTGATTTCAGTTGTTGGATGCTGGACCCACCACTTCCCTCCAATCGCGGCGCTGATTTTAAATAAATTCCCGACTCAGTCAAAGAATTCAAAAAGTTCAAATTCCTAATTTCCTTCTTTAAATTTTATCAAAAGAGTAACAAATAACGACCCGCTGCTTTGGGAATTTCTAAAATACATCTCACTCGCTGGGGATCGTTCTCCTCGCAGGATCTAGACCGTTGATTTTCGGTACTTATAAGATCATTTTCGTGAACGGTCATGATTCAATGTGATTGTCCAATGGATTGGTCATACATTATTGGGGAGGATTGGAAAGTTGTGGGGTTCGTTTTCCGTTCGTAATGAGTGGAAAAATTGTGATGTTCATATCCACCCACCCACTCACTCAAAATTCCTAATGCATATGAAATTTAATAAAAAGTTTTTAATTTCAAATCTCATACAATTCAAAGACAAAAATAAAAGAACAAAATTTAATTGATTAATTAAAAGAGATAAAGTGATATTTTGAGAAGTTTATGGGTTAACTAAATCATCAGAAATTAAAAACTGGATTAGCTCTCGCGTGGAGATTTGGGACTGACAGTGGGCCCACAATGCAGGCGCCATTATTTATTTGTTTTTATTATTTCATTAATTAATGCAATAAATCCAACGCCAATATCAACCATGGCTGCCTCCCAAGACAAGTGGAGAAATGCAAAGGCAACTTCAATAATTTTTAATAATAGCCAATTTCCAAAAACCTCGTCACTTTGTAAGTAATACTAAAAATTAGACATTTATAGTGACCATCTTTAACCTTCAATTTCCACACATATCATATAGAAGGTTCAAATGATAAAACTCAATTCCAACACAACTTATTTCTCTGGTTTGAATTCGATAGATATTGACTTTTTTTTTTTGAAGAATTTTGTGGGTCTTCTTATCATAGCAAAATTCAAATCAATCATCGTTATTCTTTCTTAGTTGCAAGGTGAGTTTTGGACTATTCTCCAAGAGATTCGCCTAATGAAATCTGATCCTTCATTGTTATTCAATCCCCTTATAAAATAAGAACCGTGATTGTTGATTAAATCAATTAGATTGAGGATATCATTCAACTTGCAAAAGCATTCTCATCAATTCACTTTCTGCATGTGTCAAAATCGTTCAAGCGTGTCAATTTTCTTGTTAATAAAGTTCTTGTTGAAGATACATACTACTCCTTTTTTTTATGTAAGAAACTTACTTCAATGGCTGCAAGGTATCGTTGAGGAAAATTTTGTTTCATGTGCAGTCCAGGTGATAAGTGTTTCTACCTCATCTTATTGTCTAATGCTAGTGAGTAGTGAGCCTTGTCAAAACTATTTTAGAGTATTATGTTATAAATATAGAGAATTCAAACTTACTAACTAATTAAAAAAGATAATAGTATTTGACTACTTAACTATGGTTAATTAGTTTAAACTTCCAACCTTTGTAGACTAAAATTAAAGAGAACAAAGTGTTGATAAGCTGATTTAGTTACAATGGTGACTTGACAAAAGCCCCACAAATCAATCAAGTGGGATTTTCCAATCAAGAGAAAAAAAGACAATGTTTAAATTGTAGGAGAGAGAAAAGGCAAAAGTTTTGATTTGGGAACAGAGGCGCCCTGCACATATAAGGAAGAGAGAATGGTGGGAGGGACCCATCATTCCAAACATACACAAAGTGCCAAGCCAACCATAAGAGGCAATGATGGGAGAGAGAACTAAAATAAAAGGATTTTCATTTCATATACCCAAATCCCCACTTTTGCTTCCAAAAGGCAGGACTTTTCAGCCTCCCGATTTCCTCTCTTTAAAACCCACAATGCTCCTGATTTTCTGCATTCACCGACGTGCTCGCCTTGATGTTTGTCTCTCCCATTTCCTTTCCCATCCAACGCCGACGACCCTCTTTCTATTCCCCTCATTCTGTCCTCCAAAACTTTGCCTCCCGCTTCCTTTTCACGTTTCTTTCCCTATAATATTTTACAGAGGTTTTGTAAATTGTCGTTTTCTCCAGTTGGGTCAAAATCTTTTACCGAACCCAGTTGGTTTTTATGCGAGGTTTTGGCTTCTTTTGGTTCTACTGACTTTGCTTTCACATTTTGAGGCTGAAAAATCAGATGGGTAGTCGGCCACTGTCCGGTTTCTAGTTTCGAGCTCTCAGCTGCACCAGAACAAACTCGACCCAGGAAGATATAGGTACTTCCTCCGACTTTCTTTCTTTTAGCTCTCTTTTTTGGCTATTGTTTGGCTCTGAGAAAATTGAAATGGGAAATCAATTTGGCTTCCCTTCCTGATATAGTATACCCATTTCTTTAACTGAATTCTACGGTGCTATATGGGGTTTTGATGTTCTGGAAGTCTCAGCTTCCATATTGCAAGAGTTTCTCTGCAATTACTTGGAAGGATGCTGAAATTTTTGTAGCTTTTGACGTGTTTAAGGAGTGAGTGAACGTTCGCTTTTAAGCGGGGTGCTTTAAATTTTAATTATTCAGTACGGGTTGAGTCCCGGCGAAGATTCAGACAGAATGAGCTTTTCGAATACATGGAATTCCAACATTTGTTTGTCTGTTTGGTTTTTTCTCCCTCTGTTTGAATTATGGCAAAGCACGACCTGTTTTATGTCGTTGATTGGCTCGAATTTGGTATATGTTTAATCTATGACACAGCGAGTCAACTATTCTTTCATTTATTAAATTGAGGCTTCTTATTACTTGTAACCTGTCAAAGGGAATCCTGTCTCTCTCTCTCACCTGCTAAAGTAAATACTTGTGTTGTCTGTGCTACTTTTCCTACTGGGCAATACTACATAACTTTCAGGACTTTAAGGTTTCTAAAGTTAAGTTTCGAAATTTATTAATGCTCTTCACTGCAAGTGGGAATATTGCTTGATTCAGTGGTTTTCATCTTTTGACAGGCTTCCTTTGCTTGTTTAATTTTTGAATTTTTGAAATTTGATGGTTGCAGGTCTAGTAGTTTGAGCTGCAATTTCTGTTTTCTGGGACTGAAACCAAATCTTGACGATGCCTATCTCACAAGAAACATCCAACTTTGATGAGATTTCTATGAAGCAGAGTTTGATTTTCTCTGATTGTCTCAAGGTACCCGCGACTTTGCTGAAATTATCGAAAAATGGCAAGTCTTCGTCTATTGTTTCACTCCCTTTCTGCATTTGATTTTCAGGATTTGAAGAATCTTAGAGCACAGTTATACTCAGCAGCAGAATATTTTGAACTCTCTTACACAAATGACGACCAAAAACAGATGTGAGTTAGTTTGACTTGATCAAAAGGCTTCCTTCTATTAGTGTTTGTTTATTAGAGAAGTAAAAGGGAAACTGTCATTTTTTATGCAGAGTGGTAGAAACATTGAAAGATTATGCTGTTAAAGCATTTGTGAATACTGTGGATCATTTGGGTTCTGTTACTTTTAAGGTTAATGATATTTTGGATGAAAAGGTGGATGAAGTTTCTGGAACGGAGTTCAGGGTGTCGTGCATTGAACAGGTTAGATCAAGCTTCATTACTGTTTCGAGTGATATTATTCTCTCTTGCAAGTTATTTATTGAAACAAAACCCGATCAAGCCGTTAGAGTTGCACCATAGGATATAGATCCTCTGAAACCTATAGTTCTTAGCAGTAAAGATTTAGAGGAAGGTGATTGATTCTCATTTTCACAAGAGTATATTGGTCACTTTTTATGCACTCGCGGTTTTCACACAGTTCAGCTACTGCTCCTCTGATCACTAGAAACTAGCTATTGTTCTTAAGTATCTCGTCTTTGGAGTTTAAACCAACAATTTTTATCAGTAAATGTTGGGATCTGCTCATGTCTGGAATGTAGTTTAGATGGCACATAAACACAATACTATTCTGATCGCAGTAGTTCTGAAAAAGGGCCTTTGGCTGTGAAGCTAATAATTCGGACACAAATTTCTGATTCAAACACTTTTTTTCCCTGATCAATACATATCATTCTTTACACATAGATTTATAAATTTACCGACATTGTTGTCATCTCTTTGACGTGGTGACTTAGAGGCTGAGAACATGCCAAGAGTATATTGATCACGAAGGACATTCCCAACAATCCCTGGTGATAAACACTCCCAGTTATGACAAGCGTTACATATTGCCAGGTAAGTTTACTCTGTTTTCCCTCCATCCCAGGTCGTTTCTTTTGCTCTCTGGAAAAAGAAAAAAAATTCTCGGGGTCTCATAGTTCATAAAATTTGTTCAGTTGGGGAGACCATGAATGGGGGTACCCGCACTAGATCTAAGTACCAAGGATGCAATCTAGATGATCAGGATGAATGGCACCAATTTAGAAATGGTAAGCTTCTAAATCAACCATTTATTGTGATTTCACTTAGGAAACTTTTCAAATGAAACATCACCACTCATTTTATGTGATTGATTTTCTCTAGCCGTTCGAGCAACTATTAGGGAAACGCCACCATCCATTGTCAGGTAAACAACACATTTTCTTTTGATTTGCAATGAAAATTTCTTACTTGCATTTACATGTTTTCTTTTATTTTGTCTTCGAATTTTTGTCTCATGCAGTAAAGAAAACTCTCTTGCGCCTTCTCAACAACCTTCCCCGTCTCCGCAACCTAGAACATTCTCATTCACGTCTACCATGCCCAAGAAGGAACTAGGTTCATATGCTCTTTCCCCTCCCATTAACTGCTCATGTGTGTGTTTGTGCATTTATATTGATTTTTGAAGTCATACCCCTATGTCTGCTCTCATAAAATGCAAATATGTTTGTTTCAAACCAGATAAACGATCAGTTTCTCCACACCGGTTTCCACTTTTGCGCTCTGGTTCGCTCTCAAGTAGGCCAAAGACACAAAGCTCAAGTCGACCAACTACACCCAACTCAAGTAGGCCGACCACTCCAAGTAATTCCAATGGCCAACGACGGGTGTGTTCCGTGCTCTCCCAACTTTTACTACATTATGAGATGCTCTCCCAACTTTTACTACATTATGAGAAAAATCGCATCACTTTTAATTGCGTCAATCTTTTGCAAAAGTATATAGCTTATGAGTTCCATAACACGTAACTGAGAATTTGCAACACAATTTTATTCTCCTACCAGTATCCTTCGGAACCCAGGAAATCAGCATCTATGCGGATGCCTGCAGAAAGGGATAACAACAAGGATGTCGAACAATATCCTAGCAAAAGTAAACGGCTCCTAAAGGCCTTGCTTAGTCGACGCAAGTCGAAGAAAGACGATATGTTGTATACTTATTTGGATGAATACTAGCACAAGAGTTTCAGGAAAGAAATGAACACCAGGAGGATCAGCTGGCGAATATGAAGGCTTCAAATTCAATTCATTAGAGTCGAGAGATATCACATTGTACTTTCATCAACATTATTGAATTCCATATAGTAGTTTTCCCTTCATCGCATGCTGAAATCATTCTTTCTTCTGTTTCGACTTCAAATTATACTTGTGATACCATCACGTGGGTATGAAGAAGTATCCAATAATTTTGTTTGTAATCAGCGCTGATATTTTTAAAGTGCCCCCTTTATTCTTCAATATGAACATTCCGAAGTCATAGAAGCATCTAAAGCAATTTAATAAATTTCTGCAGCTAAGTCGAATACCTGATTAACCCATTGCCCATTTAGGCTTTGATGATTGGGTGTTGTAAAATCGAAAAAATTGCTAGTATTACAGTAGCGAAAAAATTGTCCGAAAATAACATATCACAAAACAATGTGGCTAAATATAAGGAGTGATATGGTACGACATGAGTCCGGTAATCTTGTTAGACCTCAACATGTTAGAATTAATGGAAAACCTGGACAATTAAGCAACTGGGAGAGTGAAGATCTTCATACTTGTTAAACTGCAAATCATAATAACACAATTACAGATTAGCTGTTGATTAAAATCACAGCTACACTAAGCAAATTATGACACTCTAGATCTTTGAGGAATATAGTAGAGCTGCTATGCTATCACAAGTCCAATCCTTGTCCGAAATCCTCGATTGTTTTTGTGGCAAGAGTAAGCACATCTACAAAAGCACTGAATGATGCACGCAGAAATCTTGCTTCCACTGCTTCAAAGTGTCTACACGAGAAAAATCAGGCAGCCATGAGAATTCCAAAACATGATTGCAGAGAATTATGAATGCGATATTAGGTTTCACAAAATATTGTAATAAGCTATTTTGGCATCTATTCTGTCAAAAGTACATTCTCAACTAGGAACGCAAAGAGCAAAAGAGGATCACACTGAAAGTTTTCCATCAGAAACTGCCATCTCCCTTTTCACCTTGTCTGGCTGCAACTGTATTTAGCACAAAAATCAAATAAGAAACAACTCAAATAAGTCAACTATTTGGATCACATTATGGAGATTGACGTTATTGAGAAGCACCTCTTTATCGACAGCTAGAGCATTATAGACAATCGATGCTTTCTTCTCAGACTCATAATCGACTTCAAAGTCACTGCAGAGAGTAAACCAGATTCGAGTTGAAACTAAAAGAGATGATAAGATAGCTAACAATGAGTTGATGGGCAATTTTTCAATGTATGATCCACCATAATTGTTGACCAGATAGAGAAAGAAGCAACTGCAATGGCCATTTAGGACCAAATAGCAATTGATAGTACTGACATGACCCAAAAACAACATTGACTTCCAGTAACCATAGCAAAATAAGAGACCTTGGGCAAGTCTAAAAGGTCCATTCCATTCCAACAGTTGTGAATTCAGTGGCATATTTGAGGTTTCATTATACTATTATAGTCACAACATGGGCAAGAACATGATGATGATGATCATAGCTTCTGGAAATTGCAGTGAAGCAGCGAAATAACTAAACGGATTGAGCACAAGAAAATATGATAAAGCTAAAGAGGCGAAATTCACCCAAATTTTAAGACGGCGACATTTATGAACAAACTGATTTAAAAGCATGCCATCTATCAAAGGAAAACTTGTAATTTATGCATTTATAGGGTTCGAGAAGAAGACGAGAGAGTAACCATCTGAATTCCCATTTAGCCTCGCCATCTGAAGCGACGGAAGCTGTCGGAGCCATTGCTTCAGTTGTAGGGGAAGAAACACCAGATTTTTCTCTCAAATAACCTAACATTAGAGGCGCGGCCATTTTCAAGGTTCTTTTGTAATTAAAATAAAACATACAATGTAAATTTGACTTTTCATAGCCCTGTGACTATAATGGATTCTCGTTTGGGCTTGGGCCTGAGCCTTTTTTTTTTTTTGCAAAAATAATTTTAGGGCACTCTGGTTAACTAGTCGGACTCTGTGGCCTCTCCATCAGCTTCACGGACTCGGTACGGTCGCCGTCGTCGGAGCACTCTCAGCTTCTCTTGCAAGCATTGCTGTCCGGCTGCAAAGCCGTCGCCGGTGATTCCTTCTCTTCTTTTACTACGGTAACTTTACTCTTTCTTCTCCCTGCCCCATTATTTTGGCATCCATGTACGTCTTTTGAAGTTTGTAGCTCTAAATTTTCCATTTCCTTCTACAGACTCTTTGTAAGATTAGAATGGCTTGTGTACAATATGGTAGAAACGCACTCCGGCAAATTATTAAAGATACTAGGCTTCATACTTCTGATCAAATGATACAGCCGCTGCTATTCAGGAGCCAGGGAGTTAGACATAGGAAATTGGAAGTTATTCTGACAACAGTGAGTATGTGACTTCACTGTTTGTAGTTCTCGTACCTGGCTGTATGTTCTTATAGACGATTAACTGAATGAATCTTACTTTGATGCTTCAAAAGAGCATTGAAAAGCTTGGAAAAGCCGGCGAGACAGTTAAGGTTGCTCCTGGATTCTTTCGGAACCATCTTATGCCCAAATTGCTGGCTGTTCCAAATATCGACAAGTATGCTTATCTGATCAAGGAGCAGCGTAGGGTACTTCTCTGCAACATTGTATTACTTTTGATTGTATTTAGATATGCGTTCGTGCTGTTGTTTTCTTGATTGCAGTGATTATTATTACTTTTTTGTTCCTTCCCAGAGAGGGGGGACTGGGGAGATGAAAGAATGACCTAACCTAACAGGAAACCTTTCTTTCTTTCTTTACATGTATTACAAGCTCAATATGTTAGCTCTCGTTTGATAACCATTTTGTTTTTAGTTTTTTTATTAAGAAAATTAAGCCTTGTATACACTACTTTCACCCATGTATTTCTTTGTTTTACATATACTTTTTTAAAACAATTTCAAATTGTAAGTCAAAATTTTGAAAACTTAAAAAGTAGTTTAAAATTTTTATTTTGTTCTTGAAATTTGACTAAGAGTTCAAATGTGTTTTTTAAGAAAGGTGCAAATATATTAAAGAAATTGTGAGCAAACCAACATAATTTTCAAATTAAAAAACTAAAACAGAATGATTATCAGATGGGGCCTTAATTTTTGATACATTTGCAATTTTTAGGTGCCCACATGACAACACATTTGAGAGTTAGAAATATGCTTCATCTTTCATCTGTCTTTGGGACTTAGTGAAGGATAGGATGATTGATTTTATTCTCTGATTGCTTGGGTTTCATAAGTTGGGTGCATCTCTATAGTAGATTTCATATGTGAATTCAGATACTGTTATTTGGGTTTTGATAATTTTGATTTGTTTGAATTTAGATTTACCAACCAGTTGAGGAAGAGATCGTTAAGGTTGTGACAGTGACAAAGGAGGATAAGATGAAAGAATATGAAAAGGCAGCAAAACGTCTGGATAGTACTCAGCTGGTTTGTAACTCCGTTTTTTATCCATACTTATCTATGTTTTGTTCTTCTCCAGTTTTCAAGTTTTTTTATTCAATTACACTCAGGAACGATTTATTAATTTGATGAGCGGACTTGATATTTGGGCTAGTTATAACAGAGCATTTAGAATATGAAAAACTGGTGCACTAAAAGATTTAGTTAGTGTCTGAAGTTGCCTTCGAAGGATCGGAAAATTTTGGATAACTATGATATTCATCCAAATGGATGTATTTATTAGTTACATTTGATGTTTGACACTTTTGTAGGTGTTAAGAAGGTTAATTGACAAGGAAAAGTTCCGTGCTCGTGCTACAAAAGATGAGCCCTTAGCATTGCAATCTTCTGTGACAGTAGATGATCTTGTTGCTGAGGTAGGCTTTGTTCAATACATGTGAACTTCTTGAAATGAGAATTTAGATGACTGCTTACTTATTCCTTGCAAATGTGAATGGAACTAGGTGACCTTGTCGGTGAGGTAGGCTTTAATTGATGCTTTTCTTTTCCCCCCTTCCCCTTTAGAAAATAACCTAATAGTAAATAGCTAGTTCCTTTTTCATGTTGGATAACTTTTTCCATACAGATAATAGATTTTTTTTAAACTCTTGGGAACATGCTTAACTGATGAATCATTATGTTCTTTTGTGAGCTTTGGATTTCAGATTGCTGATATTCTATCGGGTCTTATAATTTGCCTGAGTTTTATTTAGGGTTTTTTTTCCCCTCTCAATATTTGGGGTGTGGTTTTATTGTGGGGGTGAGGGAAAGCTTGAGAATATAGTAATGTGAAACATGGGAATAGGATGAAGATGATTTTTGCTAGGAAGAATTCTTGTTTGCAAATTGTAAGCTAGGAAAGAAGTTGGACTTAGATTAAACATTTTGGATTGGATGCAAGACTTCGGGATGGGATGGGTGACTACTAATTTTCAGTCTCTTATCCACGGATACCTCTTTTTTCTTTTCTAAATACAAACCTACACATTTTTTTCTTTTCCGGCGTAGGTGGCACGGCAGCTTTCTGTTCAAATTACGCCCGAAAATCTACATTTACCATCCCCCCTGTCAACATGTGGTGAATATGAAGTCCCACTGCGCTTTCCAAAGTCAATCCCGTTGCCCGAAGGAAAAATCTACTGGATCCTCAAAGTTAAAGTCCGTAGTAAATAAAAAGTGGTAAAACAGCTTACTCTTGCATTCTGGTGCCTATGGTTTTGGTTTCTTTAGATCGCTCGGCCTCTAGTTATAATGAGGGACAACATTATTTCTTGTCCTCAACCAACATTATTTTTTACCTTAAAGTTGGCTGTTTGTTGGTTCCTCAATTATTGAATTGAAGCTCTTTGCTAAACAATATAATGGATTCAAACTATGGGATAAATGAATCAAATGCTTAACGGCCATGACGGGAGAAACATGAGATTCTGTGCATACCTGAATTATTTAACTTGTTCTCTATGCATCCTTAAATTATCTCCTTTTCTCTGTACATGTGTTAAAGCTCTAATACTCAATACTGATGAGCAGTAATTGAGTTTGGGGCTCCATTCTTTGCATTTGGGATCTTGAACTTAGGATCTCAAAGGGTTTCAAATTATTAATAAATAAAAATGCATATCATTTGTTGTACATTTGATTATTGATTCAAATATTTTTAGAAATTGACCATGAAATTCTATTTTTTCATCTTAGGGGCGAGTTTAGAATGACTTTTCAAAGGGTAGAAAATGCTTTTAGTCCATCAAAAGCACTTTTCAAAATATTCATGGTTTCGGTTACATACTTTTCTAAATACATTTGATTTGGTTAAAATGAAGTTGCTAATATTTGAAGGGTAATGTACAAATAGGAACTTCTGAATGATAACAATTTAATTCAACCTTCTAAAAGGAGTAAAGTATTTTGATGAAAACAGAACTCTCAACATTTACTTGATTTTCTCTCATAAATAAAAATGAAAACACTTTTAACGTGGCACTAAAATTGTTTAAGAAATTAATGAGAATCACAAACTCTAATCAGAATATCTGGCCATTATTTACAGACATATTTATTCATTAAAAAATGTAAAAGGTATTTCTTTCCGTTAGATTTTTAACTTATAATTGAAGACTTGTAAATTGTAAAAAGGTAGGTCTATAATATAACAGTAGCCCATTCCATGTTACTGTTAATTCTAATTTCTTCGGTAATAATTTTTAAGTTTGATTACTAACTCTATAGTTCAACTAAGTCAAATTTTCGACTGAAAGGTTAGTGTGGTTATCAAGAAGAATTTGATTTCTTTCCTATTTGAAAAGAGGTTTTAACATCTTTTGTTATTTTACTTCGTTTCAATAAATTTACATTACTTACCGCTATAATTAATAATTATATTTAAATTTGAAAAACAACAATGAAAAGTTTCATCACATAGTTCTAAATTAATATTGGAGATAGTAGTGATATATGTCTTAATCAATTGAAAAACGTTAGTTTTGACAACTTATAATGTTAATATTAGGATGAAACTCTTCAAAATATGTAGCAACTAATACTAGGAAATGCTTCTTAATAAGTTACTTCCTAATCATAGTATATTAATTATTCAATTTCAATTCCCTCAGTCTTCCAACTGGTTACTTAGATTAGATTAGGCCTGTGTGAGACTAAAACAAAACTTTTCTTTATCAATATATAACACATGATTTTTAATGAGAATTGGAAGTTATTAGATATAATAATTAATTGGTTTTTTTTTTGAAAAGATAATTAATTGGTATTCAATGATTAATACAATATTAAAATTATTAGGAAAATATTAGAAATATTATTAGGATTATTCCTACAAATTAAGAGTTAAACTGCATCCTTTTATCCACTGTGATTAAGAATCAAGATGAAACAAAAGCAAGAGGGGAGGTTGAAAATGAAATAACGGCGTCGTTTTGGATGGCAGCTGGACTGAACATCTTACATCACAGGTTAGAGAAGTAAAGGAAGTAAACTCCGGAAGTGGTGAAGCAGATGGATTCGTATTTGCATCAGTTCCTCTTCAATTCCTCTTCTTCTTCTTCTTCCCCTGTTCCTTCTTCTTCTTCTGGGGTTTTTAATTGCAAAAGTTTCCCCGGACTTTCGTTGGAAACAAGCAGAAAGACAGAATCGAAGGAACGGAGTTTGTCCTAAGGTTTTTGGAACAGAGGAATCTAACCTACTTACGAGTTACAGATATTGGACCCCTTTACTCCAGCAGATTGTAACAAAACTGGAAAATCAAAGCCATTGACATCGAATTTCTATGACTGTAATAGCTTGGCATTGAAAACAACTGAACCGGGGGGTAAGCATTATTTTTCCAATCCAAAACCCTAACATTTGAGATGGAGAAGTCTAGATCTAAGAGAAACTACTACTATGACCACCAAGACTATGATTCGGAGGCGATGGGTAGAACCAGACCTCGTTACAACAATCACTACGCCAATAATAACTATCGTCACCGTGGAAGTGCAGCCCGGCCGTCTAAACCTCAAGACCAATCTCTTATGGTGACCACGACTTACAGGATTCTCTGTCACGACGCCAAGGCCGGGGGAGTTATCGGCAAATCCGGTAGCATCATTAAGTCCATTAGGCAGCACACCGGCGCGTGGATCAACGTGCATGAGCTAGCTCCGGGCGATGAGGAGAGAATAATTGAAATATCGGACACCCGGCGGCGGGACCCGGAAGGCCGGATTCCGCCGTTCTCTCCGGCGCAAGAAGCACTTTTCTTGATTCATGATAGGATTCTTGAGAGTGACATGAGTCCTGGGTTTAACGGAATGGGGTATGGTGCTGAGGACGAGGATGATGATTACGGTGGGGTTAGGGGAGGAGCTGGCGGTGGTGGTGGCGGTGGCCGTGTAGCAACAAGGCTTGTCGTGTCAAGAATGCACGTCGGTTGTTTGCTAGGGAAGGGAGGAAAGATAATCGAGCAAATGAGGATGGAAACCAAGACCCAGATAAGGATTCTACCTAGAGATCACAATTTGCCTCGTTGCATTTCAATGTCGGAGGAGATTGTTCAGGTTTAGTTTAAGAACACTTCAGTATCCTGAAATAATTTCCCCTTTCTTGTTGCTGTAGTAATTTAAAAAATATTGAGCTTTGAATTCTTTTCGATCAAATCTTACTAGTCTACCTCTTCCTAAGTCTGCATGATTCTACTCGTGCCGGGTCAGGTTTAAAGGAAGCTAATTTACTTTTGGAATGCTTAATCAAAGTTGCTAATTGGGTGCTGAAAACATGTTAGAACGTTTAATAAGACATTGTTCGAAATGGTATCTATTAGAAGCTTAATAATGCGGTTACAGGTTCTTTGAATCTGCTACCGCTGTCTTTGCTTCACTAGCTATTTAAGAAACTAAAAGAGTTCGACCAGAAATCATTTTTTTTTTTAACATAACACCTTTGTTTGTTACTGCACATCTTACTCGATGGGTGAGTGTAGAAAAGCTAGTCATGTTATCAGGAAGTTTTCTGTGGGGATATCACATCTATCTTGCATATTACATTGTTCGGCCTTTCATATGCTGATTCTTGAGTTGACTGTTGAACCAACTTATTCCGTTACTAATTTTACCTGTCTTCTGAACTTGTTAAACATACAGAAAAGATATAACAGACACTCAGTATCATTTTGTTGATCTTTGCTCATATTAGCATAAATTCTACTATTCTGCAGATTGGAGGTTCAAAAGCTGTCTTGAAATAAATTATGTAAGATTGGTGTGATAATCTAACGGGTGTGCATTGGGGTTCCAATTTTTGGAGCCAAGTTAGATCCCTCATCTATCTATGGTTGCTACCTAATCAGGCTTTAGTTAACTTAATCATGAGCACTGTATTGATGCAAAATGAATTAAGGAAATGGATATGGTGACATGAACAATTGTATTTCTATTGTAAGTTTTCATGACTTCATATTCCATTTGTCGAGTTATGAAGAATATCTAAGTATTAATTGGTTTTCCTATTGGGTTTTTAACCCTCTGTAGATTGTTGGTGATGCAAATGCTGTGAAGAATGCTATAGCTATCGTTTCATCACGCTTGAGAGAGAGTCAGCATCGTGATCGTAGTCATTTACATGGACGTCTGCATTCACCGGAACGTGGTTTCCCTCCTGATGATGATTATGTTCCAAATATAAGCAATACAGGGCGACGGTTATCAATGGATGGACGAACATTTAGATCACGTGCTTCTAATGCAAGAGGCAATGACTATTCCAACCGTCAATCTAGTTTTTCAATAGAGCCTGGGGCCCCTCCTGTTAGTGACAATGTGATGCCCTTTTACGGGGAGGACCTTGTATTTAGAATATTATGCCCAATTGACAAAGTTGATAGTGTTATTGGAGAGTCTGAAGGAATTATAGAATTACTACGGAATGAAGTTGGTGTGGATATCAAGGTTTCCGACCCTGTAACTGGTTCAAACGAACGGATTCTTACCATTTCCTCGGAGGAGGTACTTCAACCCTTTTTTCTTCCTTAATAGATACTATACACCATGATTTACTGTTTCCAAAGGACAAATCACTTGAGTATGCCTTTCCCTTGCCGAAGATATATTGGGAGTTATATAAACACTCATCAAACTGACTTCAAAAGTTATGTTTTCCATTTATTATATTAATATTTCTTTGTTTAACTTTCTGATTGGCCAATTTGAGTTCTTAGGGTCCAGACGATGAGCTCTTTCCAGCACAGGAAGCTTTGTTACACATCCAAACTCACATTGTTGATCTCATTCCTGATAAGGATAACGTTGTAACTACTAGGTTGCTTGTCCCATCAAGTGATATTGTATGTTTGGAGGGAAGAGATGGATCATTGTTAGAGATGAAGAGATTAACTGGTGCAAATATACAAATTGTGCCAAGAGAAGAACTTCCTGTGTTTGTATCAGGGGCTGATGAACTCATACAGGTCTGTCATTGAACTTTAAATTGATCGGGAGTTCCTAGATTCTATCAAAAATGCTTAATGTAACTTAGTTTTTGTGACTTCTTGTAGAAGACTTGTCTTAAATCAGCTCCCGAGTACGGTCCTGGACTGTAAAAGTTTACGGTCTTTGAACCACTAAATACTCATATCATTCATATTATAAGTTGAAAATGCAGTTAACGAATTGTCAGATCATTAGAAACTATAGATCTTTTCCGAATTCTGATGCATATTGTCAAACCCAACTCCCCTATGCCCTGCAAAAAAAAAAAAAAAGTCTGGTTTATTATACTTGGGATCATAAATAGTCATTTGGTTTTTGAGTTAGAATAGTAAAACAAGTAAGGATCCATATTGCTGTGCTGGACGAGATGATTTGCTTTTAGAATTCCTAATTCCCTTACTGCAATGTTTGCAGATCGTAGGGGACATAAAAGCAGCTAGAGATGCACTTGTTGAGTTAACATCAAGATTACGGAGTTACCTTTATAAGGAGCCCTTCCAAAAAGATACAAGTCCTCCAGTCAGTTTAGGACTTGAGGAATCATCTTCAAATAATAATGTTGCAGCTCGTGAAGTTCATAGCGGAATTGATCCTTCTAGCACAGCCTATCAAAATGTGCAACCTTTTGGAACAGCACAACTGCTAAAGGTTACTTGTTTTCTTATCTTTATTCTTCTCTCTGGACGAGGGTCTTTTTTCTTTTCAAAATGGCCTCTTGTCAGACATTTTGAGTGGAGGTACTTCCTTTTTTTGGATGCGAAACTATGAGAGTGAGGTGCTTCTCCATAAAATACCTTTTTTAGGACAATGTAGTAAAAGATCCAACCAAAATTTGAAACATTCATGTAAAATCCCTTGAAGCAGCACTTGCAATTTTTAAAAATCCAACTGCCAAATGGTGTTTTGGTAGTCATGTGGTGGTTCAAGTCCCGATCTGGTGCAAATGAAAACGTCAGAGGTTCTCTTGTTTTTTGTGTCCAAAGGAAAGAAAATAATGTACTGTCCAGCCTAGGTGCACATTGTAGAAGTAACTTTTTCTTCAAATACATGAGTTTTATACGTTTCTTTCACATTATTATTTTGAAGTATTTGTAGCTTTGGCTAAATTATCTTGCTTTATTAATGTACACCTCTACTGAGACTTCAGTATTGCACCAAAATGACTCGTACTATCATTTGCAGGAAACTGGAGGATCGAGCAATGAAACTAGTAAGCAGAATGAAAATGACCGACGGGAAGATCTGCCTAGTGGGTTAAATAGGTATAACTTCAGCACTCTCATACTGGTTTCTCACCCCTTCGCAATTCTTTTGTAACAGTATGACGTTTTATTAGTTACAAATTATTCCATTGTCTTTTCCATGCTTCTCTTAGTTCCATTCCACTTCTCTTATAACTTAGATCCAATGGCTGTTCACTGTAACATATAAGTTTTCACATTTCTGTTAGGATACCTGTGCCGCTTGTTACTCGTAGTACACTTGAAGTTGTGATACCAGAGCCTGCCGTTCCGAAGCTTATAACAAAATCAAAAAACAAGCTTGCCCAGATCAGTGAGGTGGCATTAGTGAAATCTTGTGATAACCCTTGTGTAATATATTAAGAAACTTCCTTCATTGCGACGTTTTATTTTTAACAGTTGTCTGGAGCCAATGTTACGCTGGTAGAAGACAGACCAGATGTAACACAGAAGATAATTCAAATATCAGGTACACCAGAGCAGGCTGAGAGAGCCCAGAGCTTGTTGCAAGGCTTTATTTTGAGCAGTGAGTCTCTCCCACTAACCCATTTTGATTTTCTGTTACATTTCTAAGTTCATATTACTTTTTTTGCTCTGTATTTATTTGTTTATTCAACTGTTTTTGCAGTGCAAGAAGACGGCCCCTAAGTTTTGGCCCTTTGGTTTTAGTTTACCCCAAAATTAAGCTGCCCATAAAAGGATTGCCCCATCAGTCATCAGGTGTACGTGTATATCGCGGGGCTGTTGCTTCTAGACTCGGAATTGTGTCTCTTTTCAGCTGTGTTTCTGGAAGAGCTATGGGGGAAGAAAGAGCAAATTAACCATTGCCATGTAAATTTGGAATGTACAAGCGTTTCCATTCTTCAAAATCTCTCCTTTTTTCTTCTTTTTGTTGTTTCAGTAGGAAAGCAATTTCGGTATTATTCATCTCCGTAGTTATTGGAATCCGATTTTAAGCATGTCTTAGTTTTTGGGGTCCCCCCAATGGATACCATAATTATATGTACCTTAGTTTATTACCATAAAGAAAAAGGTTTTGATCTATGTCCATTTAATTTTGAAATTTTAAATTCTTTTTATGTATCTTTTTGTCATTGATAACGTTAATTGATTTTGATATTACTGGATAAACAAATTACAGCTAGTTTAGAACATGCTAAAACACTAGCTAGGTTGTATATATTTATTTATACAAAAAAAAAATCTAGTAATTGAACGAGAAATAAATTCTTTTGCAAGGAGGATGTTTGATTTAATTTTATGAAAAACATGCTCTCAATAATACAGTTTCTAAATTGTCAGAAAAAGTAAAAAATGAAATTAGGGTTAAGACATACTTAATAATTTGAGAGGACATTTTTCTTTAACTTATTGGGGAGGAAGGTCATTTATCCAAAAATAGTACGTTCGGGACAGTCTCGTCCGTAACAAATGTAGATATCATCCGAAACTGAAAGTGAAGATAGCACAGCGATGCGATGAGTACTCCAATCCCAACACTATCCTTTGTTTCTTCACCTGTAACTGTAATGGCTCTCTCTTTCCCCCTCTCACATTCCTTCTCCGGAAAATAAACTTGATCATGTAAACTTGTTTGCCGTTTTTCTTTTTCCGTTGTTGCAGAGGATAGAGGCGAGGGCGGGAATTTCTCATACCTTTAACTTTCCTCCGCGGTCGAAGGTTAAGATTTGAGATGTTCTTTCAACTACAAGGTTAACAATGTTCTCTCTGCCCCTCATTGTTCATGTTTTCTTGTTTAAGTTTTCAGGTGGTCGCCAGAAAGCAAAGAATTGATGAAGGTGGTGGTCGGCGAGTGTGGCGCCGAAGAAAATTGGTACGCATAACATGTCTATTCTCTCTCAAGTCTTAATTTCATCCTCGCCCACTATCTCTGATCTCATTTGTCTCACATGTTTTGTCACTCACCTAATCTGGAGGGGAGTTTTTTTCCCTCAACCGATTGAAGTTTGAGACTAGAAAATCGTTGGGAAAAGGGCGGATAAATTGGTCACAGTTCTAGGAATAAAGATTTTGGGTGGTAGAAGACTACAAGAGCGAGCATCTTTAGAAAACTGTAGGAGTCTAACCCATTATTGGCGCTTCACTCCCAGTGAAAAACAAATGGAAGCATCGGTATGTGCTGAATTCCCCTAAATGCATTTAAGAAACCAAGCAACTGAAGAAACTAACAAAACTGAAAGGAATCAAATTTGTTTGCGGATGAGTATTGTGACTGCCTGGAGCATTGGGAGCAGGACTATTCCTCTTGTTTGTAGTCTTTTCTCCTTCTTTTGTGGGAGAGTTGAGTAAGAATGTGAAATTTTGTCGATGCCTTCCTGTGGTAAGTGTTTCTTTGGTATTGATATTGTTTGTTAACTACAGCTGTAACAGAGATGAGTGAACTTTGGAAAAGGAAATTTACGCTACTTGGTGCTTTTTGCAGTAAATATTGGAGATGTTTGCCTTAATACTGACATGCTTGTTACTGCTTTTGTTCTTTTCTTTAATGCAACCAAATACATGTATGTGTCATAAAGCTAATGTAGGTTTGGGTGGAAATTTGAGAAGCAAGGAGATATCGAGATGATTACTCACCTCTAATTAGGCTTTTGAACTCTTGTACGAGAATGTGAGTTACATAATCTGGTATGGATAGAAAGGTGTAACAGCTTAGAGTTTGTTGAATCAAATAGAATACAGAGAGTGTTGTTGCAGATGAGGGCTATAAATATCTTAATGTAATTTAATGGAGGTCGGTTTTGTGGAGCCTGAGATCTTTTTGAATTGCGCCCAAAATATTTATTTTCTGAAACAGAACAACTTGGCTGAGGATTTGTCAGGGTATTTGATCGTCATCTTGATTTTTGATAGATACTTCTCTATGTCGTTCTCATTAGCATTGAAACTTTCAATTTGGTTCCTTATTTAGATGAAGAAGGATGATATGTCGCACTACAAGATGGATCGAATCCCATTCCTTGAAGAACAGGTGAGAAAGGTAAAGGAACAGGGGAAGCTTGTTACAATGGACATCGAAAGACTACTATTATCAGAGGATAACCGCTTCGACTTTGTGAATGAGGTTGCCGCTGAGGCTAAGGAATATGTAGAGAGCAACCGTGACGAATATGGGGGTTCCAAGAAAGCTATTCTTCATGTTCTCAGCAACCGAGTGAATGATGCTGGGTTTTATCGGCCAGATGCGTATGCAGAAGAAGACCCGTTCAAACCCGGACCTCATTATCTGAAAGAAGAATTTAATTGAAATTCACGAAATACATTTTCTTATACAAAGACTGTCAATGTATTAATCTACAATGTTTTCCCAGTTTTTTAATGTTCGCTTAAGGTGTTTCACTTCTGATTGAGAATCCTGCTTCAGTACCTCAAAAAAGTTCTTAAATTCATGTTCAGGCGATGTAAAAAGAGATGAATTAATTTCATTATTTTGGATAACTGGAATGTTTCAATCCATAGTAAGACATATTTAAGCTCTCTTAAATTTAGCCTCAAATTCCATTCCTTCGCGTATTTAAACTCCTCTCAAACCTCAACTTATTTCTCAAGAAAAAACAAGGGTCAAACTAACTGCCAAAATGCAAGCTAAAGCAGAGAAAGTCACAGTCAAGTTTAGAACTTTGGATGTGAGCCACACAGCTTTTACACTCGGACCCCACTTGGTGATGGTGAACCTGCATCTTCTCGTCTGTCCTAGGTTGGTTCATCTCTTCCCTTAGCTGTGGGCAAGATTCAAAATGCCTTAAAATATTGTATCTGATCCGTTAACCCAATTAGAGGCCTTCCTTCATTCTCTTATCTTTCCCTCTTAATTTAATCTCTATCTCCGAGTTTCTCCAAAAGTAATTGATTTGAATCACACCCAACTGGGTTGGTTTCCCGATTCGGCAAATGGCTTTGCTGAGTCCTCGGTTGCACAGATTCCGCCTAACCAAGCTCCACCATGCCTCCGCCTCCAAACCCACCAAGACAAACGACCTCACTGTCTCAAGAAAAAGCCGATGCTGCTCCGCCATAGCTATTGATGCTCCTTCTTCTTTAACGGATGCTGCGGGAATCAGATGGGGTTCCACTACTCTGCAAGGCTTGCGCGAAGAAATGGAGGACGATGCTGTTGTGCGATCTGATGGTCTTAATGGCTTCTCGTTTGCTGCAGTTTTCGACGGCCATGGCGGCTATTCCTCCGTCAAGTTCCTCAGGTGGGAAAAACAGGGCATCATGGGGTGAAATCTTTAGGCCTTAAGATTTTTGAAGTCCATTTATGGATATATCAAATTGTAGAGTGGAGGCCTTAACGCATCATTGATTTCTCCGTAATTCTGATGTTTGGCTTTAGTATAAATGCCGAAAATAAATAATATGCATGACACAAAAACGATTGTTGGACAAATGTCTAACAATTACTTTCCATATCATGAAAGTGAAGTGAACGTATGATTAGAGTGATAAAAGTTGAGATGGGTTTGTGTTATAATATGGACATCTTAAATGTGACCATTTTGGATTTTTTGTAGAAACACTGCCTTTGACAAATGTATTGTTGATGCATATTAGGGAGGAGCTGTATAAAGACTGTGTAGCAGCTTTACAAGGTGGCCTGCTGTTGAATGGAGGGGATTTTGAAGTGATAAAAGCGGCTTTGGAGAAGGCTTTTGATGATACTGATAAAAGATTACTGCTTTTGTAAGTGACAGATCCAGTTTTCCAGTTGGTTATGTTATATGATCTCAATGCAATTCTCTATTTGACGTAATGCCGCTCAACTTTTAAAGGCTTGAGGCAGCTGGGGAGGAAGATGAATCTGGTTCCACTGCAACTGTTGCATTCATACGAAACGATGTGCTGTTCATTTCACATGTTGGCGATTCATGCGTGGTAAGCACTGATCTGGTGATCTTCATATCATTTGCAAAGCTCCTTCTGTATTCCAATCATGTTTTTAAAGCTTGTAGGATAGGGAACTTGTTCAAGTCACCGACTTCATTTTCTAGTATGTTTTATAAGAAAGGAACATTGTAAAATATAATAAAAAACACATCCAGGGACATAAAAAAGATCTTATAAATTCATAGCCGATTTGTTCATGTAGGTTTTGTCACGTTCCGGAGGAGCACAGGTGTTGACTACTTCTCATCGGCCTTACGGAAACAACAGCACTTCACTGCAAGAAATTAGAAGAATTAGAGAAGCAGGTGGATGGGTGTGTGTTTCTCTTGAAATTGGCTGCATGTTTCAGTCTGCTTTCTTAGTCTCTGACACGTTGAAATGAATACTCTCAATATCATTTATCTAAAGCTCTAATTCTTCTTTGATGCATTAAAATTTAGATACTCATTACAGCTTTTGGTGTTTTTAGATTTCTAACGGAAGAATCTGTGGGGACATCTCTGTATCTCGTGCATTTGGTGACATACGATTCAAGTCAAAGAAAAACGAGTTCGGTCCTTTTACTCTATTCTAATATTCTCCAGCTTAAGAATATTTATTTTTACAGAGCCAATAATATTGTACTTATACTGATTACCACATGCCTCTCCTGATGGCTTATTCAATATAAAAGTATGCTACAGAAGGGAGTTCAAGAAGGCAGATGGTCTGAAAAATTTGTTTCTCGGTAGGTATGCTTTATGATTCCTCACCTCTCATTATTATTTCATTTTTCGATACTAATTGTATAGTGTTTGGCTTGTTTTACTCACTACTGTTTGCTAGATCTTTTTAGTCAATTATTCCAAATGCTAATCGACTTTATGAGGCAGTTTGACCATAGATAATTTTACCTATCAGTGTACAGTTCAATGGAGACTTGGTTACTTCATTACCAGAAATTTTTCAAGTTACTCTCGGATCAAATGTCGAGTTTATACTGATAGCGTCGGACGGTCTATTGGATTACATGAACAGGTCCGTTGGAACTTATTTTTCCCCCAGCAGTTTGGATTGAATTTTTATATTCTGAAGTTAATTTTTCAGACTCTTCATCAACTTTGATCTAGACAGACTAAATAACTGCCGTTTTGGGTTTTATTTCAGTTCCGATGCAGTTAAGTTTGTTCGGAATCACCTCAGACAGAACGGCGATGTTCAGGTGATCACATAAAGCACCGCATCTGTCTGGCATCTGCTTATGGTTCAACTTCTAACTTCTCATGTACTTTGATTTTTAATTTCAGCTAGCTTGTGAAGCCCTCGCTCAAGCAGCCTTGGTACTACTGCATGGTCAATTTGATTTATTTGAAAGCTTCCAATTAGAAGAATCTGCTTTTTAGTTCTATTGAATCAAATGTTATTTTGTATCCTGCAGGAAAATGGGTCACAAGACAATATCAGCATTATCATGGCTGATTTAGGGTGAGTATCTTGCTTATTTCCAAATGCATAGAATGAACAAAATTTATCCTGATTTAAACTAACTGGCGATGCAGGCGGACAGATTGGAAGAATTTGCCCCTTAAGCAAGACAATGTCATATTCGAACTGGCTCAAGCTTTCGCAACGATCGGGGTAGTTTCTTTCGGTATTTGGTGGGCATCCTCTATTTTCACTCTTTAAAGTTGTTGTCTCTCACTATTGTATAACCAGGTTCATCTTCCATACTTGTCATCTGTAAAGTGTAATTGAATAGTTATACAATGTATCACATCTTACCACTGCTAGTTTAGACAACTTAACATGCCCTCACAAGAGTTGCAGAATTCTTCTTTCCCATGTGGTTTGGGTCGATTGAACTGTCATTCTTCAGGAAATGTAATGCCTTAACTATCATGCCTGTAAAACTACACACAAACTTTTTGGTTCACATTCTACACCTTCCATCAAGATTCACAACTTTTCAATTTGAAGGTCTTATTTTGTCCATGAGGAACCTTACCAGGAGAGTTTACATCTTTCATCAGAAGTTTACACATGTTTTCAAGACAATCCAACATTCTGGTACGAACTCAAACGTTTTACTTATGTCTTGTTGTCTTGGCGGGAAGGTTAAGTCTATGAATTCCATTGTTCAGATTGGTTGGTTGGATTGTTTAGAGCAGCACTGTGTTGACTACGACATTCTGATCATCAGTGGTTATTTTGATTTTGATCATCAGTGGTTATTTTGATTTTCCAAACAAAATTGAGAGATCAGATAGCCATTCTCATGGTAACAGGGAAACGGAACGACACGCCAGTATCTGGTTTGAATCTTTAAACACAGCTAGTCTACTGCCTAAATATTAGTTGCCATTTTCATTTCAAACAGTCCCCATCAAGATTGGCCTTCATAATAAATGCAATTTCAGAAATTGTGCCATGCTATTTTCTTTCTGTTTCTTTTCTTTCTGCATATGGTTATCATATATTGTTTGAAATTAAGACCATAGAGTTATTTTGAGGTTACATATCTATTGCTGAAGATGACGTTTGATTCCTTTCTCATATGCTAGGACGGATGATATTTGCATTTTTTTTTTCTCTGATATTAACAAACATTCAAACCCTAGAACCAAACCGACTATTTATATTCTTACCACAAACAGAGTTGCACCATGAAACTCGCTTGCATTCCTACTACCTCAACACTAACAGACCCATTTCTTTATCATTATTTGGTTCAAGGAAACACAGGAATCACGAGTCCTACCTATGGCTTCCCGGTGCCAGGTTTCGGAGGCTCGTGCTTACGGTTAGGTACAGGATCCTCGTAATCTAGTCTCTCAATCATCAAAAACTTCTTAGTCACTGATTGGAATCCATCCTTCATGAAAGAAAAGATTTCTGTTAGATAACCTAGACAAAGTAAGTAGAACTTCCAGAGGTTAAAATTTGCCTCTTAGTGAAAATTACTCGCAGGGAAGAATTCTTCGTTCTCCATATCAGATTTCTGAAAATATATGAAACCCATCAAAATTCTAGATTACGAATTAGGAATATCGCGATGTTGAAAACATCATGTTTGATACTTATATAATCTTTGGATCTCTCGTAGCAGGGCAGTTGTTGAAGAGAAAAGTAAATAGCTTTCAAACACGAAAAAGTAAATATTCAACAATTTCTCCACAGATCTGCTATGCTTTACAGTACCTTGTGAGGAGAGTGATGAAGACTCATCTGAGTGTTGAAATCCCCAAACTCTTCTGCAACTGTAATGGAAAGATGGAAAGAGAGGAGGTTGGTTATATTTGTGTAAGCTATGGGGTATTGAACAAAAATTTTCTCACCTGAAGAGAAGGAAGAGAGGAAGAGGAGGAGGAGGAGGAGGAGGAGGATAGGTAGAAGAAAGGTAGAGGTTTTGGAAGCCATGGGCGATGTTTCTGCGTCTTCAAACTTCATGTATAGAGAAAACCATGGCTTTTAAAGGTGCAGTGAGCAGTGAGTGGAAACTGGAAATGAATGGTTTAGGTCAGTTGCATGCATGAGTTTTGTGCTGCTTGCCTGCCTTTCATCAGAGACAGAGTCAACTCCAACCCTTTTTTTTCCTTCTATTAATGTTTGGATGAAAAGCATTAAGTTTAAGTTGATTCATACTTACCAGTTACCAGTCCACTGAAACATGATTAAACGCATTAATTTTAGCAGACACAACACATGAAGTCAACTACAAGCTTTTACATTAATGGCTGAGAAGGACAAACCAAGTACATGCATGTGGACTCCATCAAACAAACAGCCATTAATATGCACGTACTCGGTTTGTGGTTATTAATAATTAATTTTTACAATTGTTGACTAAAACTGTCCTTTTATAATCATTAAAAATAAAACAATAAAATTAGTAACATAAAGGATCCAAGTGCATTGTAGATTTCAAATTCAAGTTCATTGAGGGTAATGAGCAAAGAGCCTCCATTCAAGGGAGTTTGAAGCAAAAAGCTTCAATGCAAGGGAGTTACATAAAACTTATCATCCAATTGGACAAAAGAGAATTCGCTGGAGTAGTATGCTTGAGACTTGAGAGGAGAATTGAAGCATCACTTGGAAGAACTGTTTGAATGCTGATAGTTGATAGAAGATAAGCGCAAAAAGTTTCTAACGAACTCACAAAAAATGAAGATATGTTGTTGAGATTCTAGATTTCTCCTGGGTACACCACCATTGAGGGGAGATAGTCATGGAGCATTCTTTGTTGGAGGTGTTGATAGCTTTATGGCTAAGTTCCCAAACAAATATGTCTATCGTCTATGCACTTGCGGATACTCTTTAACTTCAACTTGTGTCTAACATAGGTTGGCCGATGTGTAGAATATAGCTTGGTGGAGAAAATTTATCTTTGTTGAATCTTCTTATCTAATTCTCCTGATCATCCAGATAGTCGATGATCTTTGATGCTAACACATGACAAATTGCCTCCAACACCTTCTTATCTGATTCTCCTGATCATTCAGATAGTTGATGATCTTTGATGCTAACACATGACAAATTCCCTCCAACACCATGGATGGTGAGCCCCCGTGGGAAGGACTTTTTCTCATTCCACAAAATGCATATTTTCATTTAAACATTTTAGATATCTAAAATTTAAATAATATTTAAAAAAAAAACTTCTCGGTTTAAAAAGGATGAACATATATAATATCATTTTCTCTAAAAAATGTTGAAGGTGCTTGTCCAATTTTAAAGATGACACCATAGAAAAATTCAAAGAAAAAGTATAATTGTGTCTATGAAAACAATACTTTTAAGTGTTAGAAAAAAGATGATGCTTTGATTTTAGAAAAATAAAGGATGTAATAAAAAATTAAAGGGTAAATAAATGTGAATTAAACAAAAAGGGAAAAGGGGAATAGAAAGTTTATCCTCCATAGCCCCTTTTACTTGGTATATATTATACAGTAAATACCAGACTTCAAAATTTGAAGAAAAAAGGATGCTGAATGTTACAAAATCTTGATTTTGGGTGGCGGATGTTTATCTTTTAGTAAAATCCCAACCCATCAAACGAAATCTAAAATCTAAGCTTAAAATTACAAAATGAAAAACAAGGCATCAAAGTTCATCATGGTAATCGTCTTCATAGTCGCCATTGCGACCTTCATATACCGAGTTGTAGAAAACATACTCATGATTAAGCATCTCATCAAGTGATAAGTAGCCATCTTTGTTATCATCAGCCTGCAGTATTGATTCACAAAATCAGCTAATTTCTTCATCATGTTTGATCTCTTCATCTTTTCAGATCAGCTACTATTACCTCATATATCAAATGACTTGTGTAATGTTGGGCATAAGACAGTTCTCCAGGATGAAGATACTGGAACAATGGCCTCAACTCTTCCACTGACAGTAACCTACACAGCATTGTTTGATATTGAAAACACCACACAAATTGGGATTAAGGGAAAAAAAAAATGGCTCTTCGACATAAAACAAATGCATACTCATCCTCGTCAAGATCAAGCTCATCAAACTTCTCTTCGGCTGTCGGTACATCATCCCCTTGAGTTTCAAATTCAATGTAGCTCTTGTATATGTCAAATACATGGTGGAGGAATTCATCAAAATTGAGTTTTCCATCTCTGTCATAGTCCATGCGCCTGCATATTAAACAGAAGCTGATGCTTTGGTTCACATGCAGATGAGAAAAAGTTTATAGCTTTTGACTATGTGGAATAATTACTTCATTTTCTCTCGCAAGAGCCAATTTTGTATCCGGTAATTGCTGCTATCTTCTGGGTGCAGGAAACTGCAGGACAGAAAGATCTCATTCCATTCTTGTCAGGAAACACGTGTTTCATCAAATTAACTACAATTCTAGTCTGTGTACTCTCATTTTTAACATTTTCATCTATGTAATTTCATTGTTTCATTTTAATCACAATACTTTTATAGACATATCCATTTAGTCTTTATGGTTAATTATCCAGTTAAATAATGATTGAGAAAAAGAGCTAAAACATGGAACCTGACTTCACACCTTTGATAGGTTAAATCGTGACATATAACGCAATAGTCCATGTAGCATCATGCTAGCTTCTACAACAATTTATTGTTACTATTTAACTGGATAATTAACAGTAGAAACTGAATTGAAACATTTACATGGGTAAAGGCAAAAATGATACAGATGAAACTACAAGAAACAGAAGGCTAAAAATAGTAAAGTACACTGTTTTTTTTCTGGGAGGGAAGATGGCACATACTCTTTCAGTTCTTCAAAATTTAGTAATCCATTTGGGTCTGTATCAGCATTTGTGAATTGCCTTTTCCACCATCCAGCTTCTCCATGCGCCGTTCCTCTCTTTGCTGTTTCATAATGTTCAGTAGTTTCAATCACAATCCCAAAATGTGTTTGGCTACCATGAAAACAGAGTAATGAAGGGAAGAAAATAATAATAGACTCTCCAGGTTCTCCATATTCCATCACATTTGTTTTTATCTATCATTATTATCAGTAACATTTCAACCTAAAAATTATCAAATTTCCAGGAAATTGTGGACAGAAAATTGAATGTCTACAACGAACTTTCCTAGCTATCAAAAGAAAATAAGGCCATCAAAGGCATACCAATATCTTCCTCTGTAAACTGTGGCAGATATTCGCGGAATGAAATGGCGCCATCTCCATTCTTGTCATGGAAGTCCAACTCTTTCCGTGTCCTGTAATTCAATCTCTGCACGGCTTGTTCAATAATCCAATCGCTCAACTCCTCGTAACTGATAACACCGTCTTTTGGCGAGTGGTCCAGCAAAGGAAACAACACGAGCAGCCTCAACGAAATTTTCAATCTACCTTCATCGTAGTAATCTTTGTAAGCATCGGGAACCTGATTGGCCGTGGTAGTTCTTTGCCCACTAATGGCGTTTCGTCCCCTGCCAGATCCATGTTCCTCTGCGTATCTTTCCATTTCTTCAACAAGAGGATCAAAAGTAGGGGCTCGTAATTTGTAACCTAGGCGACGAGTTAGTTCTTGATGGTTCCGATCGGGGGAATTGGACGGATAAAATACGAAGAAGAAGGCGAAGGCGGTGATTAGAAAAAGATAAACCACCGCCCTCCCCATTTTCTGGCGCCGATAAAGATTTGTTCAGGAAAAGATAGAAACCCAGGAAGGGGTCGAATGCATGTCGAAGTTTGTTTTCAATTTGGAGGGATTTGCAATGATCTTGGAGGGAAAAAGGGTTATCAACAGAAACCATTGACGAAATTGTAGAGAAAATGGCCGGGGCTACGGCTGGGGAAGACGGTGAACGGAGTACCGTTCGCTCAGCTTACAATATTAGACAATGGCGAAATCAATCGTGAGGCCGGGAGATCTTCCACAGGCATTGATTCCAAAATAGCTCGCAAGATTCCTACTTATAAGATACATTATCAACAATCTCAGAAAACTTGGATCATTTTTATACTTCTTTTTCAACTGCTTAACCATGGGGGAACCTTTAATTATTTGATAAAAGTACAAATAAATTATATTTCATACCGATGTGAGTTGAGCAGAGCTCAATCGACAACTCATTGGAATATATCATTGATTAAAAGATTGATGTTGGAATCTAACATATAAATTAATCAACAATCTCATAGATTTAGATCAAATTTATACATTTTTTTATTTTTTGAGAAATAGATTAACTTTATACTTGGTTCAAAGATGGCTTGATCCAGATCAAAGTAAAGAACATAATACAGACAGGAAATTTAGAGTTCTGAATTCTTCTCTGAACGTTGAAAGCTGTATAAAGCTATCCAAAATCCAAGACCCAAAAGTCCTTTTCTTTTTCTCGATCTCCAAATTTCAACAATAATCCATTGAAAACTAAAAGATGAGATTTCTGTCTACCTACCTTCAAATAATGAAAGTAAAAAAGATGAAGGCTTAAAGGTTGGATCCCGAGATAGTTTTAGCGAATGATTATGATATGGTCAAAAAATTATTAGGAGAATGGGAACAATCTTCCATATCGAGTAGCATCTCATTCTCTGTTGATGCGATACTTTTTGAGTGAAACCAAAAGTAAAATAATGTAAATTTAGGTTAAAGTAGACCATTGTGAAAATTATTGGGAAGAAAGGTAAAAGATTAGTTACCAAAAGGGCTCCATTTCTGCAACATTTCTTGCCCAAATGAGCATCGCAGAAGCAAGCACCAGTAGCATCCATATAGATATTATAGAGAGAGAGAAATGGTGCATTAATTTCCAATATTTGCATCTGCTGCTCTGTTTGGAATACTCATTTGAGCAAGAAACATTGCAGAGAGGATAATCAATTTCTTCACATCTCTTTCTCTCTCTGTGTCTGCAACATAACTTGAAGCAGAAGAAGCATGTGGTTTCATATAAATAGAAATCAGAGAGGTGGAGAAGTGAAGTGGAAGGACAAGTAGTTGCAGGGAAATTACCAAAAGAACATGAAGCTAGAGAATGGTGACAAAAGTGGATCTGCCTATGCCAACCACTGGTAATTAAGCTGAGGTTCCTTTTACAAGTCAGAGCTCAGAGTCAGAACCATGCGTGTCTTACATAAGAACAACAACCTATTTCTCTCAGAAGACCCAATTATTTTTTGCATAGGATTCCTTCATATTGTTATGGCTTTGTGCATTTAAGAACTAAGAAAGTGTTAAGAAAAACACTCAATTTGCCACTTGACTGTTGGGTGAGAAAAAGGACAGTGATCTGTCTGAAAGGGAATTTCTGGTGCTGTGGTGGAAATGGAATGACAGCTCAAAATGGTACAAAACCCAACAAACTTTCTCTTATACTTGAAAATGCATTTCATTTGTTGATGTGGAAATGGTCATTTTTCTTTTAATACTGAATTCTGTATCAAAGAATCTCATGGATTTGTGTTGGTATAATTTTATAGGATGTTATGTTATGGGAAGGAATTAGTGATTCAATGCAAAGATAGATTTTGCCTTCATTGTTTATGAGACATTAATTAAATTTGATATTTAATTTGTAATATAGTTAGGCAGAAAATATGGTGGGTGTGACATTTGTTAGGTATGAGCTATGGAAGAGTTGGTGGGAGCGTAAGACGAAAACTAATTTGATAAAAAAAAAAAATTATTAATTTTTTTTATGATATGTAAGATTCTATTCTAACTAATGGTTACGGAAAATGGAATATTAAAAACAAAAGAAGGCCTAAAGTTTAAAACTGTTCATAATAAAACAAACTTGTAAAAATAGGAAATACCGATCGTTCAAAGTTCAAACCCAAAAAATAATAATGCGCACCCGGGGAATCGAACCCCGGTCAGTACCGTGGGAGGGTACTATGATACCACTACACTAGATGCGCTTTTTCGAACACGTCTCTCTAAAACAACAATTTAGGTTTAGAAGAAAGAGACGAGACTGGATGGAACATTCAGATCGATAATCAAAAGACAACACACGAGCTCTTGCTCAAATAGTCACATTGTACACCTGAAGAGAGAAAACTAAGCCTCTAAAACAACAAAAGCAAAAACATAAAATTTTCTCCCTACATGAAGGAAGTTATATTTGACGATCGGCAGACTCAAGAGCAAAGAAACAATGAACATTATGGGTACACATCATTAGTTGGCGATACAATAAAATAGTTAAAACAGAAACTTAACTGTGACAACATACATTGCTTTCAACAGAAGTTAGAGCTGAGTTTTCTCTTTTTGACTATGTATTACTTACCAAAATCATCAAGTTGATTTGTTTATACAATAGTTATACTAAAAATGCCGAAACCATCAAGTTGTTTATACAATATATATAGGAAAATATAGAAAACTATATTGAAATCCAAATCATCGACATCCCAATTCCGCTCTTCCTTCAGGACCAATAGTTGGATTTACACAAAGTTTCTGGAGATCGATGTAGCCTATGATAGTGTCCTCAAAAACTGCATCTTGCAATTGAGCATCATCAAAGGTTGACCCCGACAGTACCGTGTTCTTAAACAAAGCTCCTTGGAGATTGGCCTTCCCAAAATTTACCCTGTCTAGGACCGCATTTGAGAAATCAGCACCTGCAATATGCTATGTCATTATGATATTGGAGCCATATTAAGAATTATTTTCGGGAGTCTTGGAGTCCTTAAAATAAAACAAGTAATGTTGAACGTTTTTTTTTTAGCAAATGTGCTATGTATATGAGTTTTTTCCATATAGTTTAGTGGTGTGAGATCCCAACTGACCAACTTAGGATTCAATTAAGGTATTCAAAGAAAACTTACTAGGTCAATACACATAGAACAACAAGAATTGACACGTTTTACTTCAACTTGCTAATATGATCATGACACTTTTCATCATTCTACTTCAATGTGTTTTTGGCTTACAATTGATTAACGTGAAGCACATGAAGAGAGCATAGTTTGAAACATATTTCTGTGTTCCATCTAAGTTAAAAATGAAAATGAGACCATCCATACACCTAAAGAATTTTGGAGTCTATGGCACATTCTATAAACTAGCATGTGTTGAAGAACCTAGGTGAACATTGTCTATGAACCATATCAAGTATAGGTAGCATAGTTCGAAAACTAGGTCACTGTGTAAAATGATAGTCCTCCTTTGGTGAGTAGTTCACACTAGAATATGAGAAGTTCGTCGACAACCCACTTTGTTTTGTCTTTTGAGGGTGGGGGAGGATAGAGAGAATCTTACCCTTGAAGCTGGCTCCAACAGCATAAGCTTTTGACATCACCACTTCAGACAGGTCTGCACCATCAAACTTAGCATCTGACATCAATGCAGCAGCAAGAGATTTCCCTTTCAACTGGTTTTTTTCATTTGTGTAGTCACAGAAACGAAGATCAATTGGCTTGTCATAGACACCATTTGCTTGACCAATTGTGTTGCCAACATAAGCACGCTCGCATCGATTGGGTTCTGTTGACAATGGAGGCAGCCTCTGCAAGTTCCAGATACTATGAGATAAACAAGCTTCTTTCTCAAAGTTAAATATATGAGTTGTTTGACGGTTGCCACAGAAAGTGAATGACATTTGTCAATCATGACTATAAAAGGAAGAACATAACAAAAAGAGAAGAAAACAGAGCACCTGAAGTAAGATGAACTGCATGTAAAAAGAGAGAATGGTAAAGTAGATAACTGAATTTCAGTTAGTTACTGGAGAATATTACAAGACAGCCTATCAGAAGAAGCATTATAATTATGGTATTGTAGAAAAGATAGAAAAGGGATGGGGGCCAGAATGATAGGGAGGGAATAGGAAGATAGAAAAGTAGGATTCCAACCCAAATTACAGACTTGATCCCCCAAAAAACTAGGTTTTACATGTCAATCTTAAATTTAAATGCAAAATTGTGAGTTTGGAATGACTTCGAGAATGTTGCTCATGTACCCAAAAATCATTATAAATTTTGAATGGTGTTCCATCATTCAAAACTAAAAGTCACGCCAATACATTATAAATGGTTGAAATTTTATCTATGGTACTAACTCTACGAAGCGCAAAATTATATATCAATACAAAATGCACAAACCCCAAATTGATCGACTAAATTAAGGGCAGGAAGGTGAAAAAAGTCACAGATGCGGCTATAAATTATTCATTGCGTTAAACCATGTGGCTGGAGAATGGTGACGTGCAATCACCTGATTAGCCGCAATCACAGGAGAGGTATTTGTCAAAGCCCACACAGCAAGAAGACCGCAAGCTACAGTACCAATACGATTGCAGGGTGACAAGCTCTCTTTTGGTTGTGCCCCTTCCCCAGTAGCTGCAGTTGGACGCATAAAAACGCTTCTTTCATCAGCTAATGAAATGGTCTAGCGGGCGAGGCTCCACTAAAATTTAAAATGACTCATAATGCTTGAATATATAGATTCAACTAATGTCCACTTCACATGATTTTCCTTTCCCCCTACTTGGAGAAGAGTTCAAATTGTATTCGGTTGTTACCACATTTTTGGGTATGCAGAAACGGGAAGCTTTACCAATTTTTGAGCTAATTCAATGCATTAGCCAATTTGCACAACTAGCAGCCTGATCCAAACAATATGATAGGCATCAATAGCCAAGCCAGAGACCAAGAGAGAGAGACTGCTACTTCTCCCCAGATTGTTGTGCAGTTTACCCTTAAAAATGGAACTCGGTGTAGAAATTGTTCGAGTAAATCAATCATCAATGCATGAAACTAGAGTTTTAGAACAAAAAAGGTAAAGGTTGAGATGGTTTGAACTCCAAGAAGAGAGAGAAGAAAGACTAACCACAGCAGCTGAAACGGGCGAGCGAACGGGGAAATGGAGATATAAGCTGTCGGCGTTTTGCAGAGTAGAATCTGCGGGAGAAACCATTTTGAGAGAGTGGAGCTGATAAAGTGGCCATTTACAACAGATGAATTTCTTCTCCCTCGCTCGCTCTCTCTTTCTCTGCCCGACTTATCCGTTCTGCGATGTTGGGGATGTGATCTTCATGACGTGGTAGTACACGTAGGATTCTGGCTTGGAAGGTGGATATACCTAAAATTTAATATTTTGCCGGTAAAAATAGAACTATTTCAAATATATATAAATATGATTTAGAAAATGGATTAACTGCTTAGTATTGGTCAACGAAAAAAGTCAAATCCGGACGGGACTCCGTATAAATAAAATAACCCGAAGTTCACGTTTGATGTTATTCTTCTGCTTTCCTTTATATGGATCCCCAGAACGGCCGGGCCTTAAAAATCCATATTGTCTCTTCCATCGACTCTCCGGAGTTCGGTCAGCTAACTCAGGCGCTGACTTGCTCTAAGCTTATTGGACTCGACGCTGAGTGGAAGCCTTTACGGACTCCGAATCAGCCATCCCCATTTCCCAGAGTTTCGCTTCTCCAGATCGCTTGCCAATTCGACTCGGACGAGGGGAATGATTCGCTGGTTTTTCTGCTCGACCTGCTGTCGATTCCTTTATCTTCGGTTTGGGATTTGTTGAGGGACGTGTTTGTTTCACCGGATGTTTTGAAATTGGGTTTTCGATTTAAGCAAGATTTAGTTTACTTGTCCACAACTTTCTGCTCCTATGGCGGTGTCTCTGGGTTTGATCGTGTAAGTGTTTAACTTTCGGATTAAAATTCTATCCCATTTCGTGGTATAGCTCATATTTAATTTGAGTTGCGTACTTCAGCTTTGGCGAAGCTCCCAGCATTAACATAATATTCTAAGTTTTCTACTTCAACATATTTTTGTAGATTGAACCCTTTATCGATATTACGAGCATATACACTCATCTTCAACATAAGCAAAATGGAAGAAAGATGCACAAGCAAACTAAGAGTCTCGCAGCCATCTGCAGTGAAGTACTGGGATTTTCTCTTTCGAAGGTTTGGCCATTACACTTCCCTATGTCACTAGTTTTACGTTCACCAATCACCAACATACTTCAGATTACTTTTATTATCTTTTTTCTTTTCAATGAATGTAAGCTGCTATTGTATTTCATACACTTTCAATGCGTAGTCTTGCATGCCAATTCAGTGATGTCCTATAACGAATTTAACTGCAGCTGTTCTAGGTTGTTTTGGTAGTATTTTAGAGCTTTCTCTTAAATCTTCCCGATGAGTTAAGGCTCTTTCTCAAGTCCATAAGTGGAAGTACTTCTGTACTAATTTTTAATCTTGGTTTGTATCTTCTTTAGGAACTTCAATGTAGTGATTGGTCATGTCGTCCCCTCACAGAAGAGCAGATAGCTTATGCAGCCATGGATGCCCACTGCTTGCTCGAAATATTTAATATCTTCTACTCCAAGGTTCTAAAAGAAGGTCTGTCGTATCTGAACCTTGGGGTTGCTAGAACCAATTTTAGAATTCTGTTGATCCCTAAATACTACTATCTATAAGAAAACATTATAGAAAATTATTTCTTTAGTTTCTATGTTAATATTCCCAGTGAGCTAAGAGGACTTTTAACTCCGGCAAAACTAATGTAGGAAGACAATGTTTGTGCCTTTCATTATTATTTCACTCAATGGACTTCTTATTAGTAGTGCTTTACTCCTTTTTTCAAGAAAATGAAATTAACAGTCTTTTGCTCGTTGGCTCCAAATCGTATCAACAGATATCAGTTGTCTAGAACATTTTCTTGTGCATACAAGCTCCATAACTACTGGTGATCATGCCTTATATTTTATTGTTTCTATGATTAAACAACTTTTTCTGTTCATTGCCTTTGAAGTTTGCAAATTTGAGTGCCAAAGCTTGTTAAATCCTTCCATGTTCTTGGGCCGTTGACCATTTACATTATGTAAAAGGAGCCAGATAGAAGTTTCACATTATTTAGGATATTAAACAATTTATTTTATTTGCAAACCTTTGTACTTGTTAGAATACCATTGTGATCAAAATTATTCTTCTGAAAGTTTTGGGCTAGCTCATGCAAGTCATTTTCATGATGCTGTAGTAATTAATAACGTTAGTATGCAATTTCTTGATGCAGTTGGTTGTTTTCTAAAGATGAAAAAACCATTAGATTGGTTATGTCTTAACTAGATAATGCTGAACAGTTAGTCAGGTCTTCCACCTAAACGCCAAGGTGGCCAGAAATCAGCTTGGGTATCCAATTCTAAAGTTATATATCAGACTTAATTAAAATAATAATAGTGAAAAACTTTGGGGAGCTGGGAAGAGAAATGGCCCACATTAGATATAATGTGCAGCACACGTGGTGTATTACTTCTCAATTAAAAAAATGGAAATGTTAATTGAAGCACTTAGCTAAGAATTTATCATAGATGATAATCGTAGTCATTACATGTTCTTTTATATAAATTTTCATTATGAGTTGAATTCTCAACTATCCTATTGGTTATGAAATTTTTAATTTTTAATTTCAATATCCAGGGGATCTGTTGAAGAATGTTTCTGCAGTGCCTTCTTCTGAAATGAATACTGGGTTGAAAATGATTCTGGAAAACCAAGATATGCATGAGAAGATATTGAGGATCAAAATTTCTGAAGCCTCAAACATTGTCAGAGCTACTGCATCTGATTTTCCACAAAGTATAGCTACTCTAAGGGAAAATTGTTCTACATCGTCGAGTATAAACTTTAGGCCTATGGATGAAGATCTTCTGAAAATTGTCAGGAAATATGGTGAAAAAATTATTTTGAAAGATTCAGACAAAAAGCCCAGGACCTCCAAAAGAAAAGGCAAGAGATCATCGACTTTGAAAGTGGTCTGCAATGAAAAACAATTAGTATACGTTGAAGGCCTCCCACCATGGGATTTGTCCTTTGGGGGTGACGGATGCCCTAAATTTCTATGTGATGTAATGGTAAATATTTAGGTTTCTCCTTTTTTCCTGAAGCTTGTTGGTCTTTTTTTCTTAAATTTAACGCAAGGTTGCACATGTCAAGAAGAAACTAAAGAATAGTGTCCTCATATTTCTTGGAGATCAGTCAAATTCTGAATCCCTCAATACTCCGCTTCTTGTAAAAAGTGTTCTACTGTTAATCTCTTTGGTAGGCTAAATTTTAAGGGACAAGAACAAGTCTAATGGATGACAAGTGTTCACTCAGGTTGAAGGTTTGGCAAAACATCTACGCTGTGTTGGGATTGATGCTGCAGTTCCATTTTCCAAAAAGCCGGACTCCAGGTACTATAATGTTAACAGATTTATTTTGCATATTTTGGTCGATTTCATTTGTTAGTTATCTATGTAGGCATTGTATTGTAATTCTTTTTCATATGTAGGGAATTAATTGATCAAGCATGCAAGGAGAAGAGAGTACTTCTGACAAGGGATGCTAAGCTGCTGAGACATGAGCATTTGCTGTCCAATCAAATATACAGAGTTAAAAGTCTTCTAAAGAATGAACAGTTACTCGAGGTAGAGATGCAAGTTAATTATAATTATGAGCTATGGAAAATCAAAAGTACTAATTATCAACAATGGACTGGTCCTGGTGGAGAGTTTGGAAACAATTTTGAGAGATAACTAAGCCTCTTGAATGTTTCTTAAATTCTTGAACTACCTTCTTTCAACATTAGTACAGCGCATCACCATGACTTTTATGTCAAATTGCGGGTTCCTATTACCCTTCAGTTCAAATATGGTGGAGATTTACTGGTTGGAAGAATTTTGGGGATGGGAATGCTATAAGAACTTTTAATGGGATCAATGGAATTATGAAGATATGATCAGAGCCTTGGGAGTATCTATGCCTAAGCAGTCTAGTTTTGAAAGTCTATATTTCTTGTTGCAAATCATGACTTTTATTATATCACTTTCTGATTGGATGGTAGATATATTTTACCCTTGTAATGAATAGACACTCTCGTATTGCATTGTTAATTTAGTCTTGCACTGAAAAACAAAATCAGTTCTCCAGTTAGGTCATTTTGCAGATATAGGAGGCTCATGATTCTGAGGCCTCTCTCTCAATCAAAGTGGTAATGCAATTTTATAATACCTGTTATTTAAATCTGTTGTAGGTTATTGAAACATTCAATTTGAAAATTAGTGAGGATCAGCTGATGTCTAGATGTACCAAATGCAATGGTAGATTTATTCAAAAGCCCCTTACAACAGAGGAGGCTGTGCAGGCAGCGAAGGGTTTCCAAAGAATTCCTAACTGTTTGTTTGACAAGAATTTAGAGTTCTGGCAGTGCATGGACTGTCACCAACTATACTGGGAGGTAACATTCTATCTGAAGTGCCCTTTCCTGCAATGAGAAAAACTTTTGGGCGGGGAGGTCTTCATTCACTAAGAAATTATTCGTAATAGACTTTTTTGGGTTTAACATTATCCGTATGCATTACCAGCTGAAAAAAAATATTGGATTTGCACATAAAGGGACCAATTGAGGCAAAAAAGAATAAACATGATGATGAAGTAGAAGAGTGATTTAGCTTACTTGTTTGACTTATTTAAGACCCTAGTATTAATGTCTCACCTGATAAAGAGGTCACTTTAAATTCTTCAGTTGCACCCTACTCTTTTGTTGCATTTAGAAGTTTAAAGGGTGTACTCGAAGCTCAGCTTCAATATGTACTAGGAAAATTTGTATTTGAAGTATTGGCATTCTGATCATATATTGTGGCCTACGTGTTCTGGTATAACTGATGAGGTCTTTTGAATTTTTACAGGGCACACAATATCACAATGCAGTCCAGAAGTTTATTGATGTTTGCAAGTTGAATGACTAGCTTATAGTGTATGATCATGATGAGCAACTAATCTAAGCAATTTTCTATTAAGCAATATCTACCCCTCAGCTTCATCATTCAGTATATGACCAAACTTTACACCTCTTGGCTATAGAGACATTGAGTATTCTACCAATTCAACTCCTCCCGGTGCAAAGATAAGGTGCTGACAATGAGGATCCAATGCCTGGTTTTCTGGTAATTTGTGGTGGAAAAAATTTGGAGCATGTGTTTTTCTTTTCTAGTTGCAATTTTTCATGCCTTGTTCGAATTATTTATGTTATTACTTTAATTTTTCTTGATGTTATTGATTGGCTTTTCAACTTTCTTCACTGGGATCTCACTTTTCATTAGTTCTTGATAGTGAAGGTTGCATAGCATATACATTGCATATTACAGAAGGCGTTCGAGAGACCTTACTTTTTTGACTAAGCCCAAATACCACAGCCTGCACATTGCCTAGAATCTCTTCCTTTTGGAAAAGAAAATAGCTCTTCATTTCCTAATTCCTATAAAAGCGAAAATTTACTATTTTTTCTTCATTTGTTGTACACAAAGAATGTAAGAGAAGATGATTGCCTCTAATGTTTATGAAGCTGAATCATGAAAGCACATAGTTTTAACTTCATCGGTCTGCTTTTTCTACATTAATCAGAGTCTACAAGTTGGAAAGGCCTGATTATGATTTAAAAGGTGGGGTAATCTTTCATTTTCAATGGCTGATTTTCAGCACCTGATGAAGTGGGAAAACTTAAAGCTGAAGTTTAAATCCTAGTCAATGGTTGATTCTTGAAAGGGCCCCACATGATAATTGTGCTCAGTGGGTTGGCCCATCTATGCTTGATTTTGGACTACACAGTCTCTGTCTTGTAAAAATTGCAATGTTTATAAGAGGAATGGCTTCTGGGTTGAGGCAGAGGAGGAGGGCAAATAGTTGCGCAAAGCTTTCTTGTGTGAGTGTCTTTTTACTCTGTCGAATGTTGCTCATATCCTGCAACTAAAATCTCTGCCATGAAAAAGACCATTGACCTTTGTCACAGCCAATCCCATGAACATTTGTTCATCTTCTAAAGTTTTGCATGCTTTTTATTTTTGCAACTCTCATCAGATATTGACATTATTACTTTTATGATTGTCTAATGTCACCTTATGTGCGTGGACGTGCCTCCAAAATTATACCGTGACAAATACATAACCTATGGTATGAAAATTGATTATATTCAACTCAGGCTACCGATCTCGCTCTTGGTTTGGTTTTAGTTATTTAGACGGTGGAATAATGAGTGCAAACAACAATCATAACTAATAAGGGACATGCTTACGGTGCTTGGATGTGAAATAATAAATACCAAAAAAAAAAAAATAGACGAGTCAAATTCTTTAGAATTAATTTATTGCATGATCAAATGTAGATAAAAATAAAAACCATGCAAGGTTTCTACTCTTGTACTCAGATGAATGCAAGCATATATATATAACACCAAAAAGAAATTATTTCCAATGAAATTAAAAACAGTTCTAGAACATAGGATAAGCATATTATGATAGAGAAAGGTCACTAGAGACAATAATAACAACACTCCATTCACATACTCTCTCTCTCGCTTTCTCCCACATTTTTTTTCTAAATAATTGAATGTGGCCGCTACAACATAATTGTCTTCTAACAATCATTGAATCTAGGTGCAAAATTTGTTTGCTAATTCACCTAAGTTCAAAATACAATTTTTTTTATTATCAACTTTTATATACAAAATTGTCAATCACATTGTTAGTATCAAAGTTTTAAATGTCGATATTGATTGAAATGTTAATAAACCGTAAAAACTATTTCAATTAACATAGCATTTCATCATTTCTAAATAACTTAAGATAATTAATGTTAATATTATATCTATATTAGTGAGATCGTGTTGATATTTTTCATATCTTATTAATTTTTTGTAATATTATAGAAATATCGATTTATCTTCGTGTCGTCGAACTCGAACTCATGGACATATGTGTATGAATACTTGATACTTTGGTATAGCATAATTTCTCCAGTCTCTCTCATAATCTTCTCTCTCCTATTACTGTTGGCCGACACATAAAGACCACCACAAAGGCAAGGTTGGATCTTGGTTTTGGACCATCTGCGAGAAATAAAGAAAGAAAGTGGTGTGCGCCTCTCCTTCATAACTCCAACAACTTCATTCTTCCAAAACAATGGATTCTTCTTCTCCCTGGCCACAGCCACAGGTATGGCTAACCCTTCTCTCTCTCTCTGTCTCACAAGTATTATTCCATCTTCTGGTGAATTTTTTCTCTGTTGGGTCTTGACATTTTTTCCTCAAATCAGTTTTATTAATGAATAGTGAAAAGGAAGCAGCTTTAGAATTAGTAATTGGTGATGAGTGATGGCATGCAGGTTGTGGCCAAAAGAAGCATGGAGGAGGAGTCAGAGGAAGAGGGGAAAAGGGCAGTTTTGGAAAGAAAATTAGCAAAGGTTTTAAACTGCCCGAGATGCAACTCCAACAACACAAAGTTCTGCTATTACAACAATTACAGCCTGTCTCAGCCAAGATACTTCTGCAAGTCTTGTAGGAGATATTGGACAGCTGGTGGGTCTCTCAGAAATATTCCAGTGGGTGGTGCCTCCAGGAAGAACAAAAGGCCTGCACCTAATTTCTCATCACCATTGAAGAACAAGACTAATCACCCCACGGCCATTATTAATGATCATAATAATAAAACTTCTTCTTCTTCTTCTTCTCCTTCTTCTACTTCTTCTTCTTGTGGTTGGTTGTTATCTGATCGTGTGGAGCTGATTCCTTTCATGCCCATGCCTGCTGCTGCTCCACAGCCCAGTTCCCTGTGCAGCACTGCAGCTGATTATAACCCTTCAAGGAATAATACTATGAATGGGTTTGATGACGATGAAGGTGGATCAGCTGATGAGCAGGCCGCAAGGAGTTTGTTTAGTGTGGAGGAGTTGAAGCAACTTCCAGTTCCAACCATTATCAACGATCAGAATGGAGGGAAATTGGGGGATGTGGCTGGTTTTTGGAATGGGATTTTTGGGGGTGCCACAGGCTCATGGCCATGACCAAACACAAACTAAGAAGGTGAATATATATGTAAAATTGGGTGATTTCATAATCTCACATTATATTTTTAGTCAAAAACCAAGTGAATTTTCTTTGTTTTTAAGATGAAAAAAAAAAACTGAAATGGGTCGCTAAAATTCTAAAAACTGAAATGGGTCAGTTTTTAAATTTCATGTTCTGATTTTCAATAGACGGGAGATGCACATATGGTTAGCTCAATTTCTTGTTGTTCCTCCTTGATTATGTGTTGTATTTGTGTTTTGGGATCTTTGTTTCTATATTGGTACCTTGGAGCTTCATTTTCACTTGGATTGAAGGGATTGCTATACAAAAACAGTTGAATTTGTAGGGGAAAAAGGCAAAGTAAAAGGAGAAAATCCTCCTACTAATTAATTATGTACTTTTGCTCTCTACCTAGCTATATCTACTTTTGTAGAAGAATTGTATAACTATTGTATCATATGAATCTTTGCAACTGGTGTTGGGTTTCCAATTTTTTATGGGATTTTTAAAATCACCATTCTATAGCTCTCACTCTCTCTAGGAAAATATATGATTAAATAAATAATAGAGCAATTTAGCAGATATAAACAATGTGGTTTTCTATGTGAAGATATTATCATGAAACGAGAAGAAAACTACTTGTATTCCTTTGTTTGGTAGTAGAAATTCTTAACCAAATGATCTTCAACTGCAGTGGAAATCATCTCATTTTGAAAATTATTTCCACATATGGATGAAAATAATAGTATCGATACAAGTTAATTACCATCGAGTTAAATTCATGTTGACGTGTTAACTCTCTTAACACTAGATTATATATTTGAAATAAGAGTTTAGGGTTTTAAATTTTCCAATTAAGCTAACATTTTGTGTTGAGTGTATGCTTACTGTAACTATAAAGTTGTTAATATTTTACAATTGATACATGCTTTAACATTAAAAATGAATTCTAAATATATTACTAACCACACTTCAAAGGTTTTAAAATTGAGACACTACTAAATAAATATTTGAAAACACGGTAAAATATATATGAAATGGAATTGAAAATTTGTCAATTTGAAAACAACAAATTCAAACTAAAAAAGGTGAATAAAACGTAGATAAAAAATATTGCTTGTTTCCAGAACTGAACAAGTCAAATTGTCAAGTCATTTCAGGCATCACATTGACATGGTTAGGGTTGAATGGTCAGAATTGAGAATGGTGATGGTAGGCAAAGCCATAACCCAACCAATCAAACATCACATTTCACATTCTAGGCCTTCTGGCTACTATCCCATGCCTACGAATATATTCTCTATTTTCAAATTTCAAACAATTATGTTGTAATATTATTGATTTGGTTTCATATATATTTTTAGGTGATTAAATTGACGAAAACTAAGAAAATTCTTCATCTTCTTTCCACCGTTTGTTTAGTTGTTTTTATAAGGTTTTAGTCTCAATTATACTTACAACTTGGACTTTAGTTATAATCTGCCAATATCATATATATCTTTCCCCTTTGTCATCCTTTTAACTATTGTTTTCTTTTTTTGGGTCATAGGAAACTTCTTTAATGTCTGTGAGAAAAGGTAAGCAACACACAAGATTTGAAGATGCACTTTAATTTATATGTAAATTGACAATAAATTGGAAAACAAAAGGAGGAAGACATTTGAATTGGGGAGCAAAGGGAATCTTGGGTTTTTGTCTGTAAGGGTTGGAAATGACAAAGCCCTAGACTATAGTCGTCGTCATCATGAGCTCCATTTGCATGTCAAAGTTTGGCTAGTGAAATGATGTATTTTCAATGTGTGGTGACCCATTTTTCATTCATCCCTCTCAAAATTTCAAGACTTGCAAAAGTTCTCCATCTCAGCAAATTGGGAAGCTCAACTAGCCGCCTACCTTACTAGGTCTATTGATGCAAGATTATAGTTTAGGTGGGGACGTCATGAAGTTAACTTTAGTAATTGAGCAGATGGTGTGTAACACAACCTTACATCGTGTGATGCCTAATCACATACACGTCGAAATTTAAGTTAATACTTAATTTGATAGTGTCATGTCAAACTTAATAAAATGCATATAGATCATGTCTTTTGTGTTTTCACCTTAGAAAGGGAGTATAGGAAAACATCGCTCTACAATTATGGAGTTCATGCATGTCATTTAGCGAATCTTATATCGACTCTCAATAGAAGTAACCTTCTATCGGCTGCAAGACATCTTTCAAATCTTCTTCCTAAGTCAGAATCAAGCCAGACTCTACCTCACGAAGGTATGCGTTTCAAGGTAAAAGACCCACGTGCATAGTTTGTGTTTCACCCTTAATTAGATAAAAAGATGAGAAATACAAATAATACTAGCTAGTGGATAGACATACGTGTCATATCACTGATTAAGATATATGTCTCAAATAAAAACATGTCTAGTTGAAAATATAATAATTATGAATATAGAAGTAAAAATTAAATCTTGTTAATGTTGAAAGTTTTTTCTTTTGTTTAAGTTCTAACTTTTGAAAAGTAAATTCAACTCCACTGTATAAAAAGAAAGGTGAAAGAAGATTTACTTATGTAACTTCCAATATCTTACTAAGATTATTACTTTTCAACAGGCGACTGCCTCCGGATTTGAGATTGATATCCCAATTTAGAGATACGGCAGGCAAGAAGCGCAAGAAATCCGAATCATCGATCATTGGCGGTTTTATGAAAAGAAAAATGTTAACTTTTGCAAATTAAGAGAGTCCCATCAAATTTGCGACCCAACCGAATGTCATTCCAGGGAGCGGATAGGTCTCTACGGTGGTGAGCTACGTTCAACTTTGAAGGGAGCCGCTGTTTAATCCTAAATTTCTCGCCTTTTTCGTAGGAGCATGTCGGACGCTTATTGGAGGTATACCGACTCACAGCAGCAACCTCCGTCTGCCGTCGTCGGGAAGCGCCCACGCGTTGATTTCGGTAATGGAAGGAATAACTGTATTCGTTACGTTTTTTGCCCTTTTCGTACATTTGGAATTAGGGTTTTCTTCAGGTTTCTGAATTTACCCCACTTACTAAATTATTCATACTTCCAGCCGGGCGCAAGATTGGAATTTTAGAAAACCCTGATAAGCAGATATTTGTTCCGTTAATGTGCTCTTTCTCTTTAAATGTTTTCTTCATCAATTTGCTGTTGAGACGTTGACAATTCCCTGCATGGTTGAGAGAAGGTCTCTGCGTATTGTTTTACACCATCCATACTCATTTTAAGTGAGATCTGTCCATGATTCTATAGTCCTTCAAGATACTTTCCTGCTCTGTATATCAAATTTTTACTGATTCGCTGACCTCTTTATGAGGAACTAAGGTTTTCCTGAAGTCAAACAGCCAAATTTATTTGTTGTCACGAGTGTTGGGTCACAGTGGGCGTCTTTATTGTTAAGGACTTGGTGCAGCTCTAATTACTTCTTAGTGCGCCCTTTGAAGTTAACCATTTTTCTACTATAGTACCCACTTGTAGCGTTTCGGTCTAAGGCTTCAGAATGTGCCACAAGGAATGCATATTTGTCAACAATTGACATTTGTAGTTTCTCTTCAGAGTATGACACTTTTAGGATTGTTCCAAAAATAAACCAACTAACAAAAACATGAAGGTAAAATGGTATTCATAATTGAATGCTTAACATATTAGTGTTTACATCTTTATTTTCTCGCATAAATTATTTTATCTTTTCTAGTCACGATTTCGTTGTTGATTGCAGTGGCACGATCTTTTGCGGGCTCCCTTTGCAGTTATTCTGTCTCTTTTTCTTTTCCATATTTGGCGCTTAATTCATTGTAAATGGCTTGTAGATTCTACAGGTGGTCATGAGTTGCCCCACTATTACCCTCGTCAAGATGATAGAGCAATGATCCAAGGAATCAAAAGTGTGGATTCCATCAATGAATCCTATGAACGTTACTTGCGCAGCTCGGTACTTTTTTCGCTTTGAAGGTTCAATTTGTTTTCTATATGTTTTCTCATTCAAGTTCATGCTAATTAACCATGCCACTACTTTTGTCTCAGCAAATTTCCTCATATGGTGGAGGACAGTCTGCTAGACCTGTTAGTGGGGGAGTTCCTGGTCATCCGGTCAATGATCCACCTATAGTTGGGATTGGGGGTGTGGTTTCAGGGGCAAACGTTAATGATAGAAGTGCAAGCTTTGGAGTTGGGAGGCCGAACGTTCCTCTTCCGCCTGATGCTTCTAATACACTGTTTGTGGAAGGCTTGCCTTCCAGCTGTACACGACGTGAAGTAGCTCGTATCTTTTTTTTACATTTTCCCATTTCCCATTTCACATTATTGTATTGTTGAAAGGAATTATTGTATTATATTGTTTCCTTCACGTCCGTCCATAGATATATTTCGCCCTTTTGTTGGCTACAAAGAAGTGAGACTTGTTAACAAGGAATCCAGAAATGTAAGTTGATTTGTTGAAGTTCAACTTTGTTTTCATTCAATATGGGACACCATTAATTAAATAGTGAATTTTATTTACCTAATTTGCGCAGCCTGGAAGAGATTCAGTGGTGCTTGGTTTTGTAGATTTTGTGAGTCCTGCCCATGCTGCCACGGCAATGGATGCCTTACAAGGTATGCTTGCATCTGCTTTAATTATTAATTTCTTACCTTTTGTTCTCTGGCTGTTAAACATTTGCACTCTTTATCTCCTAACAGATGTCCCTAGTGGAGAATTATATGCCTTGAATTTGTATATTTATTTTGGCTTTTCTTAGAAAAAGAAGTTATGCATTTATCATTCTCATGCGGAATTCAGTGTCCTTTTTTTGGTGTCTTTACACAAACATGGGTATATCTGTGTTTATATATATCTACATACTATTTTTCCCAGGCGGGGATTCAACCATGTTTGAGATAGTTAAGTAGAAAACCAAATGTAGGTTAGTTGAACAACTGGGTAGGAATCAGTTTGCCCGTAGTACCACTCAATCTCCTTCATTGCAATGCCTCATGCAGCTGCGCCCCCATATCTGGAAATGAAGATGTGACTGCTTGAGCGCATATGATTCAGCAGTATAGTTTTTAGATTTCCTGCTAGGAAGCTAGGCTGTTATATTGGGCATGTCAAAGGGTGTGGGCATCGAGCTGGGCATTCTTTAAAAAAAATTGATTCCATGACCTATATAACTTTGTATTCTCCAGTTTCCTACTTCTGGTGGTGGTGGGGGGTGGGGGATCGGGGATCAGGGTGGGTTTACCATTGAATCATTTCAAAATGATTCCAACTTTAACAGAGGATAACGTAAAATGAAACACTTCTCATAATCTAAAGTGGCTGCCACATCTCATAATCGTTGGGTGCATGGTTAAATAGCATCTTTCTATCTCATGTATCTGACAGTTTATGTATCATATGTGACAGTCTCATTGAATCGTTTCTTCTTTGTGGGGGATTTATCTTTATGTGAATCATATGGCTCCCATTTCTCCATTGTGGGGATGTATTTTCATGTGTATCATATGGCTTTCAAATTCAAGTTGTGTGGCTTGAAGAATTTAGTTTGTCTGTGCTATCCTGCATTCAACAGGTGGGAAATCTGGCAAGTTCGATAACTGGTCTTATAGATTTTGCAGTGGATTAAGAGTCTCATTTTTAGTTTCAGTTCTTCAGCTGATGTAAAGCTTATTACATTTAAGACCGACTAGTTATAAAGTTTAGTCTTACCTAGGTTCAATATAGTTGCTGGTTCTGATTATGATAGACTATGTTCGATATTTTAATTGTGTGATTAACTCAACGGTGTTCGACTTATACATTGTGCCTCCTTTTCAATTTTCACGTTAAAAATTTTGACTTGGAGAATGGGGCTTAGTACGCCTCATTTGTTAGGAAGACTAAAGCATGGTTGGTGTACTCAACCGTGAGATCACACCTCCATGAGTATTACAAGGTCCTTTCTGATGCCCTTCTGAATAAAGTAGAAAAGTTGTGGAGTATTAAAAATTATTAAGGTGAATATTAGACTATTTGTGATCCAGATCATGTTATACGCCTTATATCCGATATCTATTCTTTCCCTACCTCGTCGTTCTACACGTAGCTACTGCATATATCAGTCGAGCTCGATTTTGCAGGTTATAAATTTGATGAGTTTGACCGTGACTCGGTCAATTTAAGGTTGCAATTTGCTCGCTTTCCTGGTGCAAGGTCAGGTGGTGGGCATCGTGGAAAGCGTTGAGTTATGCGATCTCCCAGGTGATAAAATGCCTTCTTCGATCCCCTCGACCAATTATTTTCTTTGCCACCTGGTAAAGTCCAAGGAAAAGTTCATTTAAACGCTGAATCACTCTAAACCGTGGACGACTCTTGTGTAGGATTTGCGCATACGGTGAAGTTATGAATTTGAGGCCAATATGACAGTCCCCCTCATTTCGAAAACTGGAGCATATTAGTTAGAACCAACCGAATTCGTATACGATTATATGCGACAAATGTGGTGATTTGGAGAGTGCTTTTACTTTTATGATATCTACTCTGTTTTCATACGTGCTGCTATGAACGTGATGTTGAGCTGTGAGATAGCTTTCTGCTTTCATACGTGCTGCCATGAACGTGTTGTTGAGCTGTGAGATAGCTTTCTGCTTTCATCATTATTATCGAGTAGTGACTATTTCGACCCGATGATACCCAGACGTGAGTTTAGTTAGTGACGAAAAAAGCCATCTTATTTATACAGTACATTTTATTGGTATTTTACTTCATTATCAAATTTAACTTCTATGTCCTGAAGCTGTGCGTTTTATTTGAAATTTTTTTTTATTTAATGCGTCGACCAGCTAAAGAACATATTTGAGTTCTCAAGTTGATATGCTGCATATTTGGCTAACCTGCGTTTCCCATATTTACATGGGAAGAAAACTTATAGAAATCATTGGAGTATTCTGACTCCTTGCAGCTTAGATTATTATTAATTCGTTGTTTTTTGACCAACGAAGGCTGCAGATGTAGGATTGATAACATTTTATTTCCCTAGGATTTCAGTTTGACATGTTTTGGTAGTTGACGACTGTCTTGTATTCGAAGTGCACGATGCTTATGAAAATTCAGGATATGCATAGGTGCAGTTCCATTTATAGAGTTACTAAGCCTTAACAGATACAAATATTGTTTGAATTTTTCCCCCTTTTGGATTGCTCTATACGATTGTGAGGAGGAGCACGGCTCAAGACTTGAGCTTGATTTGCATTTCAATTTGATTCATGTGCCACTTCCTGTTGTGAGTGATTGGAATGATTAGAAGCTCATGCTCACCTCCCTTACTGGTTGTGGTTCCATTACAAGTACTGTTTTGTCTTTGGTGTCCGTTACTCCAGTTGGGGAGGCCTCTTTCTTTAGTTTTGCTAGCAACATGATCCTTTGTTGTTCAATTTGTCCACGACTCGGCCATGTGCTAGAGTGAAGTTTCAACTATCATGGAAAGGAAGCTGCTGAGAGATGGGGGCTTTATGATGCAGGATGGCAAAAATAATGTTCGAAGTCCTGGCCCTGCCATCTTTTAATGGGTGGTTGAGTCTGACTTTAAGCATTAATTGATAGTTGAATGAGCTCTAAAAGTTGGATGGTGATGGGAGTTGCACATGGGCCTCTATTGATTAAGTCTGCTATTGGAGGTCTTTGAACCTTTGTGTTTGTATAGTTAACTTTGTCAACTAATACTCGATTATATACAAAAGGACACATAAAATTTTATTCATTTGTAGATTTTAATACCAATTGGGTTGGTGAGAGGGATTCTCTTGTGGTCAAACCAAACATAAATTAGGTACAATTTGGGATGCTTTTTCCATCAAAGACTTTTGACCATCTTATCCTTTTTATACAAAAACAATTATACAGAAGAAGAAAAAGAAACGACAAACGCCTCATTTAAATTTGTCATCTTCTCTAACTTGGCCACATTGAGATCGCAACAAAACAACAAAAATTGATTGGATTTGATTAAAGAAAATTTGTTTTAATTGAGTGTTGGACGTGTCCTGGGCCTTGGTGGTGGCAATGTGAACGCTGTAAACTATGAATTGATGCATTGACCTTGAGCTTTGACTTACTTTTTGTCTACTTTCACTCTCGTTTCAGTATTATTTCCACTCCAACCGCTATTTTTTTCTCTCTTTTTTTTTTGAGAAAAGTAAGCGGATAAAAATTCCAACTAACACCAAAAACTGGAGCTGAAATTTACCTAAATCTGAAAAGTTTCAAGGTATAGAAATTAAAACGCAAGAACAACTAAGGCAAAGAACAAAAAAAGTAACAAAAACCAAATACTTATAATAGACCAATGACAAAACTTTTAATTATTGATATCTTTTCTTAATACTAGTTAGCATCTGTCTCTAATCAAGAGGTCTAAGTTTAAATCTTTCACCTCACTTCTTAAAAAATGAAAAGGAAAATCAAATTACTTATATGAAAATATGCAATTCTTTTAATGTTTTTTATATATATATATATATATATATATATATATATATTAAAGTCAAAGATTGAACTATACGTCTTTTAATATTTTATTTAAAAAAAAAAGGAAAAGAAGTTAAACTGACAATTAAACGGGCGTTTGGAGTCAAATCTTTCTGCAATTTACGACCCACTTGATTTATTGGTTCATTAAAGTAAAGCAGGATGCTGGCGGCATTCATTAATGATCTATACCATTTGGAGGTTGTTGCGTTCATATTTTAAATTATATTAATTATTCGTTAAATAACTTAAATCATTACTTCTATTTTATTAATTCAAATATATCATTTTTTACTAATCATAATTTATCCTTTTTTTTACAACACGAGTCAATTAATTGTTAGATGAGTTTTCTATTATGACAGAATTTTATGGGCGAAGGTTTTATGGGTTGAACTCTTGATGGGTTCTTTATCCAATCAAATTTAATAAGTGGGAATGATTATGAGGGACAAATAAAATAGCATTCGGTTTCACTTAAGTTAAAGTTTATTAATGCAATGGTTAAGACATCTTGTTTATTTCATTGACTAAAAAAGAGTTAATTGTATGTTTGAGAAAAATCGTTCTGTAAATTTATATTCAAATTTTATTTATTTATTAAGAGAGGGAAACAAATCTGTTTGAAATAGTAGGCCATTAAAAATATATACACGTATAGAATTATTTTTTGTTTGTTATTATAAAAACCATTTTAAGGTTTTAATACTTATTTGAAATATTTGATAAGTTTCATATATTCTCAACTTTTTAAATATTTTTCTTATAAGGATAATATTTACTTTAAAATTTTAGTTTATTTTTAAATATTTTGCTTAAAATTTTAATTGTTTGAAGATATTGATTTTCTAGGGTCCACACTTTATCTGAAAAAATATATAACAAACCATATTTTTCTAAAGAAAGATTAATTTTATGGGGGCTATCCACAACTTATTTGAAAAAATAGATTATTAAATAGTTTTTTTTCAACTTTTCTTAATGTATTAGGTCTAAAACTACTTTTATGAAATGCATTTAAGCAAAGTTTAAAAAAATATAATAATGAAAAATAAAACATAGACGCATTGAAGTTAAAAAATATATATAAAATAAAAGGAAAAAACCTAAAGAAAAAGTTAAAATAAAAAAATAAAACAAAATTAATTGAATTGGATAGGCAGATTAAAAAATTAAAATGAAAAAAAAAATCTATAACGGGCCATTAACGGTCCGTTTCTACCAGAGAGGAAAAAAAGTAAGTTCATTACCTGATTTTGCTAAATAATTTTAGAAGTACTTTTCACTTATTAACTTATTTTTAATTTTTTTTTTTTTTTAAAATGACCTGCTATTTCAAAAAAGTCCGGAATCCTTGTATTGTGTAATGTGCGGAAGATTCCTTTTGAATTCTCTAGAAATATGGTGTGTAATTGGGAGTTGGGAAGGACACATTTCAAGGAAAAAAATAATCATATAACTTATCTTCAACTTGAAGCTACTTTTCCTTTTCCTATTTATGGAAATTGAAACAAAAAAATCGAACATTGTTTAAAATTACAAATACGCATAATAATTTGAAAAATATAATTCATAAAACATTTTAAAAAACAATCCCCCAAATTCCGAGTAAATAATCTGGTTATAGAAAAAAAGAAAGAAACATATTTTCCCATTTCAGATTTTGGACGAATGTTTGTGCCCACTGTTTGCAACGAGATAAATAAAAAAACAATTATTATTGTTTAAAACAAATAAAAAGTTAATCCTCAAAACTAATTAGGAGAGATATTAGGAATCCCAATCCCAATCCCAATCCCACCGAACTCCTATTTCCATACGAATTCCTTAAATTATACGTTCTGATAGAATTCTCTATAAAAAGCGAAACCCAGTGCACAGTCTCACTCACTCGCCTCACACAACAAAACAAAACTCTTCTAAAACTCACTACACATACCATGGTGACTAGCGTATCGGAGATTCAGAGCGCGGACCCGCCGGCTGCCGCCACCGCAGTCGACGACGAATGCTGCATCAAGCAAGTGGATATTACAGTCCCCAAGACCGACGACCCAAACTTGCCGGTTCTCACATTTAGGATGTGGGTTTTGGGGATTGCATCATGCGTGATACTCTCATTTGTGAATCAATTCTTCTGGTACAGATCCAATCCCCTGTCGGTTTCTTCAATTGCCGCGCAGATTGCTGTGGTGCCCATTGGTCACTTGATGGCCAAGACACTTCCGACGAGACCTTTTTTCAAGGGCACGCACCTTGAGTTCACCATGAATCCTGGACCCTTCAATATTAAGGAACACGTTCTCATTACTATTTTTGCCAATTCTGGTGCTGGTTCTGTTTATGCAACTCATATTTTGACTGCTGTTAAGCTCCTCTACAAGAGACAGCTTACTTTTGTTCCTGCCCTGCTTATTATGCTCACAACTCAGGTTTTCCTCCTCCCTTCTATTTTCATTCAATTTTCCAATTGCTCTTTCTCTTATCTGTTTAATTCTTGTTAACACCAGTTTTTGAGTTATAAATTTGAGTTAGTCACTCTATCACAAGATACCAGATTAGAATCGAGCTGACATTCGCATTTTTTATTTTATTGTTTGTTCTGTTTCACCAATCTCAAAATTGCCATCCTCTTAGGGTTCATAGTCAAGAAAACATGGATGTTTTTTCATTGTGAAGAACGTTATACAATAGCCAATATCTGTAATCTGATGTTAATAATCTATGTCCTTTGTTTTTTAGATTCTTGGATTTGGCTGGGCTGGAATCTTTAGGAAATATCTAGTTGAGCCGGGGGAGATGTGGTGGCCATCTAATCTGGTGCAGGTTTCGTTGTTTAGGTGATGTCTTCTTATCTAATGCTCTTTTTGAGTAATTCGATTTTAGTTGAATAAAGCTCTTATTCTCTGTATGCTGACGGGAGGAACTTTGGGAATTGTAGGGCTCTTCATGAGAAGGAGAAGAGACCGAAACGTGGCACCACTATTACACAATTCTTCATTTTAGCAATGATCTGCAGCTTTGCTTACTATGTTCTTCCTGGCTACCTTTTCTTTATGCTCACCTCTTTCTCTTGGATGTGTTGGTTTAATTCCAAATCAGTTTTACTTCATCAACTGGGTTCTGGCACGCGCGGCCTTGGAATCGGTGCATTCGGAATAGATTGGACCACAATTTCGTCTTACCTTGGAAGTCCCCTAGCTAGTCCTTGGTTTGCCACTGCCAATATTGGTGTGGGATTCTTCCTTGTTACGTATGTGATGACACCCCTTTGCTACTGGTTCGATGTTTATGGAGCAAAGAAGTTTCCTATATATTCAAGCAACCTTTTCATGTCGAATGGCCTGAAGTACAACATCTCAAGCATTGTAAATTCAAATTTCCATCTTGATCGAGGTGTTTACCGCACAACTGGGCCAGTAAATCTCAGTACCTTCTTTGCAATGACCTATGGACTTGGATTTGCCACACTTTCTGCTACACTTGTTCATGTCTTTCTCTTCAATGGAAGGTAAATTCTCAACCACGCTTCATTTATCATTTTGTTATCTACTTTTTAAAAACTTGTTTCTATTATTTTAAATTTGGTTAAGAATTCAAATGTGTTTTAATAGAAACAAAATAAAAAACATACCAAAAAAAGTGTATAACAAAGTGGTAATTGATTCATGTTTATATTACTCAGGGAGCTGTGGAACCAAAGCAGAAGTGCCTTTGGAGGGAAGAGGAAAATGGACATACATACTAGGCTTATGAAAGCCTACAAACAAGTACCCACATGGTGGTTCCTCATCATCCTTGTGTTGAGCATTGGTCTCTCTGTTTTTGCTTGTCAATATTACAATGACTCTCTTCAATTGCCTTGGTGGGGTGTTCTGTTAGCTTGTGCGATTGCTTTCTTCTTCACTCTCCCCATCGGCATCATTGCTGCAACCACAAACCAGGTAAAGCCATGGTACAACAATTAAAATTCAAACTACAAATCTCTTTGGTTTCAAGAGGAAGCTTAGTTATGTTAAATTTAATGTCTTTCTGATTTGCAGGCACCAGGTTTGAATATTATAACAGAGTACATCATTGGTTATGCATATCCCGAGCGCCCGGTTGCCAACATGTGTTTCAAGGTGTTTGGATATATTAGCATGACACAAGCTCTTACATTTGTATCTGATTTCAAACTTGGTCACTACATGAAGATCCCACCGAGGGCAATGTTCATGGCCCAGGTGAATTTTAATTTTGGTAATACAGCATGAAATAAAGTATGCTAAGTGTCTCGTTCCTCATAATGAATCAACTTTATGTGGCAGATGGTGGGAACAATTATAGCCGTGATAGTATACATTTCAACTGCTTGGTGGTTAATGGGTTCAATTCAAAACCTTTGTGACACCAACTTGCTGCCATCAAACAGTCCTTGGACTTGCCCGATGGATCGCGTGTTCTTCGATGCTTCAGTTATTTGGGGGCTTGTTGGGCCTCGCAGAATATTCGGGAACTTAGGAGAATATGGAGCTGTGAATTGGTTCTTTATTGGTGGAGCCATTGCTCCTTTGCTTGTATGTATTGCACACAAGATGTTCCCCAAGCATTCATGGATTCGCTTCATCCACATGCCTGTTTTGTTGGGCGCCACAGCGATGATGCCGCCAGCTAGCGCTGTGAATTTCACTAGTTGGCTCATATGCGGCTTTCTGTTTGGATTTTTAATTTTTAGATACAAGACCGAGTGGTGGAAGCGCTACAATTACATCCTCTCTGGTGGCCTAGACGCGGGAACGGCCTTCATGACAATATTGATATTTCTGACATTGGGATCAAAGGGAATTGAGTGGTGGGGAAACAACACGGATGGATGCCCCTTGGCCGCTTGCCCAACTGCTAGAGGAGTTATGGTTGATGGCTGCCCAATTATCTGATCTAATTTCTTAGCTTAGCAACTAGCAAGTGTTTATAAACTCCTTTTTTTTATTTTCTTGTTAGATAGCTCTCCCATGCCTCTGCTGTAAATATATCATTTGGATCTATGATTTTCTTTGATGATTCTTGTAACGATCCTTATTCTTTAATACATCCAGATTATCATTAATGCAGAATTTAAACTTACAAAACTGTCCTTGGGATCCTTTATTTGAAAACAGTACAAAAATACTCAATTATGAAACGAACTGGGAACCGAGAACCATGAACCAGTTTGATTTGATTTGTTACAAGTTAGATTGGCCACAGATCCAACTTGGGAAACAATTTGGGATAAGTTAATTAATAGTTTCTCAGTTTTGTTAGATTTGATTGCAGCTCGTTATTAATGGCAAGAGAAAAAAGATGAAATTACAAAGCTCTGATTAAGCATATGGAATATTCATTACCAATTACCATACAAGTTGAAAAATTTGACCATTGAATTCCCCTTGTCAACTAAAGGGTGATGTTAATATATATCTCTCATTTCAAATAATTTTATTTTGCATTTGTTTATTACTGTTAAAATGTGTTAAATGAAGCTATTGCGATACGAGGAAAACCCACTCAAAATTGCCTGGTACTTTTTTTAAACTTCATATCTTATCCACGCTTAATTGCACTTTAAAAGAAAAAGGGTAAAAAAATAAAAAATAGTTTCCTTAATTTGACAAAAAAAAATATACTTTATGAAATCATATATTCTAAACTTGGTTACAAATAAATCATGCAGAATGATGCTTTTTTTTCAATTTAATATGTAGAGTTGAAGATTCAAACATTCTGCCTTTCTATCGAATATATATGTATAACCAATTTGTTGACAATTAAAATTTTTAATATATTAATAATTACTTTATTGAAATATTAAAATTTTAAACTCAATAGTAATTGACATTTACTCATTTCCGTAAGTCTCACTATCGGTCACCTAGGAGTATTTAGCCTTGCAAGATGGTCCTTGCTGATTCACACGGGATTCTACGTGCCCCATGCTACTCGGGTCAGAGCGTAAGCTAGTGATGCTTTCGACTACTGGACTCTCGCCATCTAGGGTGCAGCACTCCACCGCTTCGCCTAGCAGCACGACGCTTGTATTGCTCTCCCACAACCCCGTTTTCACGGTTTAGGCTGCTCCCATTTTGCTCGCCGCTACTACGGAAATCGCTTTTGCTTTCTTTTTCTCTGGCTACTAAAATGTTTCAGTTCGCCAGGTTGGACATTCAAATTTTTATACCTCCAATTCGTCGGGCTCGGAAAAAAAAACAATTTTTTAAACCTTCAAAATGGATAATTGGGCATGATTTCTGCAAAAATTTCGGTCTGCTGAATCCAAGATGGTGGGAAATATTTGATTGGGCCCAGTTTCAGTAGCCCACAGAGACCATTTGTTACCTCCTTTAAACCAACTGACCCAATTTGGTTCAATCTGTTTTAGGAGTCCACGGAGACCGTAATTTACCTGACTTCTTTTAGCCCAATAAGGCCCAGTTCGCTTAGCACAATGAGGCCCAATTCGGTTCATCTGGTCCTCTCTCCCCCCGCTGTCTCTCTCTCCCTCTGTCTCTCTCTCTGAATGTCTACGATCTCCGGAGAGAGAGAAAACGCAAATTTGGCCATGGAGGAGCCTGAACGGAAAGTACTTTTCGAAACGCGTCGTCACGCCTCCAGACCGTTCCGTCCCAATTATCCTCCTCAGCAGGTCTGTACTTAACTCTGTTCCTCGCGCTCCTGAGCTGAAGTGTTTAAGCTCAATTATGTAAACTTCAATTCGTTTTTCTTGCTTCAAATTATGTTTCTGTATTTCTTTGGTTGCATTTAGGCGAACGAGGGTGCTAAAGGGAGCTTCCTATCTCTGTTTCGTATTGGAGGTATGTTGCATTTATTTGCAGCTTCTTTTCGGATTTAATTGCTAGCCGAGTGATTTTATTTCTCTCTCAACAATTTGGCATGTTGCTCAACTGATTTGCGACGCTTGAGAAAAGGCAATCTATTGTTTTTCTAAAGCTTATACTGTTCAATTATGATGCAATTAATTATTCTTGAGCTGCGGCTGTGATTGCCTAATGGCTTGTCAGTTGAACTCTAGTCAGTTGTTTCGTTCGGATGAATTCGTTTCTGTGCACTATCAACCATGGTCATAATATTGTCTTTCAGAACATGGGATCAATTTGAGTTAAGATGTTTAAGAATTGTTTTTGGAAATGATTATGATATTTCTTGTCATATTCCGACTTTGGTACCTATAAAAGTCGGAAGCTATTATTGAAGGGTGTATATTTTGTAAGTGCTTGTGATCTTCTATTCACTTCATTCCAAGATCGTGATTCTTCATTTTTCCTTGAAGTTTGAGCATCTAGATATACATTCTTGTGAGACATTCTATGAATTTATTCTTACCTTTATCCCGATATGTGAAGTGGCTGGCAGACTTTGGGATAAATGGATTGGATCTAACAAACCGCTGAGAATAGGAAGATCAGTATCATTATTTATTTCTTCAAGTGGGGAACGTGTGGCGGTGGCTGCTGGAAATCAGATAACAATATTGCGGAAGGAAGATGACTACTTGGATCCATTTGGAATTTTTATTGGTATTATTTTTCTTTTGATGATTTCTCGCAAAGCCTTTTGAAATAAAACTGCTTTTAAAAATTTTCAAATTCAATTCAGTATAACTATCTATCTTGTAAAGGATAGGCTATTCAATTTCAATTACCCATCAAGTAAAATATCTATGAATGTATTATGCATTCTTTTATCCTGTCTTTTTCTCGTTTTATTTTTATTTTATTTCCATTTTCAATTTAATTATTAAAACATTCCTAGATGCAGTAGGTTTCTATGCCCACTGTAGTTTATTCTTACATAAACTTAAACCTAATTTCAGATCATTACTATGTTAAAGGTTTCTTATCTGAGATACCTTTTCTGGCAATAAATTTAATAATAACTATAGGTTTTATTGCCAAAGAGTAAAATATAATAAATAAAAAAATTAGTTTGGTTTATCTTGTTTAAGATTTAGGATTGATCGAAGAATCGGTTCTATCCATTTTTATTAGGATAGTGTCTTTCATTGGTATAGTGGATAGTTGCACAATCAGATAGAAAAATAAAACATTATTTGCACTTTTCCATGCATCAGACGCCAATGTTACTTCATTCACTATGGGAGCTTGGTCCGACAGTTGCAATGTTCTTGGAGTCACTGACGATACTGATACTATATATTTTATCAAATCAAATGGTGAAGAAATAGCAAGACTTCCAAGGAGGCAATTAAAGTTTTCTCTGCCTATAATAGGCTTGGTTGGAAAGGAGGATTCTGATACTCGAAGATCTTACTTGTAAGCAATTATCCAGTATTTCCTACAGTGAAGTTCCTGTTTGTGTAGTATTTATTTGGGATTTCTAGTTTCATTTTTTGATCAACACTTAAATCTACTTCTATATTCCAGGTGTAGCTTCATCATTGTTGCATCAGATGGCTCCATTCGTCATATAGAGATCAGTAAAGAGCCAAATATATCTTTTTCCTCTGCACACTCCTCAAACAGTGGGTTGACTCCAAAGATCCAATTTCCAAACAGAGTTTTCTGCTTCGATTATTATTCTGACCTTTCTTTGTTTGTCGTCATTGGTAGTTTTAGCGCCGCTATACCTTCCAGTAGAAAGTCTGGTACGGTATCACAAATCTTGAATTCTTGAATTGACAATTTATGCTTAATTTATTAGCCGCCATCATGGAAGTTGAGAAAGGAAATAATAAGATATAATCTAAACACTACTTTTATTTCAACATTGTAGAATATCAGTACGATCAGATTGATCACTAGGATTACTTCTAGTGATAAAAATACTCTTTTATAATTTCTTGTGGAAAAGTGAACCATTACGTTTATCTATTTGTGCTGCCCTATTTTTTCTGATAACTGCAATACAAAAACATTCTATTGAGAGGGAGTTAAAAATTTTCATTCTTTCTTCTTGTCTTTGTGTGATTACTTTTCATACTACTTTTACATGTTTGTATTAGTGTAAAAATAAGCCTACCACTTTTGGACCTAATAATTTCGGTTCCCCATAGTAGAGGGTTGTCTGCTTTATGTGAGAGTCGTAGACCCTTCCTGGTTCTCTGCCTTATATTGTTCTCCTTATTCGAATTTGGTACACGAAAGAAGGTTCTAGTCTTCTCCATGGTGCCAATTCCTGCAAACCAATTTCATCTGCCAGCCTTCATTATTGACTCTTTTTTTATTAGACTTTGTGATAAACTCTAATAAAACCTCAGTATTTTCTTGTTCAAAGTTCTCTCTCTCGCTCTCTCTCTTCCTACTCTGGATCTTTGAAATCTCCTTTTTTGTTGCTTATTGTGACTATGGTTTCCTAGTATATCTCTTCACTTCCCTTGTAATACGTCTTCCTGTTATGAAGTGGGACAGCTGTCTGCATCCTATAAATCCTGTATTAAAGTGTAATCAGACAGCATGATGTTTTAGTTATTATTAATGTTTTATTTTTCCAGGATCCTGTTATCTTTCTCTTTGGCGTGGTGGGATATTAGATTTGGAGCCATTATGTTCGATTCAGTTTGACGGTTTATACTCTGTACCAAAAGGATATGAAGGTCGAACTTCATATTCAAAGCTGCAAGTTTCACCAAAGGCACAATTCATTGCCACTCTAGATGTGACTGGAAAATTGTACATTTTTAATCTGGATAGGGAGAACTTTACCATTTCTAGCTTTTCTTCTCCACAGAAACATGACTCTCAGGCGACAAATGATATATTAAATGGAGTAAACAAGATTCTAAGTGACATTTTGGATTTTACATGGTGGTCTGATCATATACTTACAATTGCAAGGAGAAATGGTCTTGTTGCTATGCTTGACATCCTCAGTGGTATAAAAGTTCAGGAGGACAGTCCTGTATTTTCCAGGCCTATCATAGAAAGGATACAGCTGTTAGAAGGCCAAATTTTTCTTTTAGAGTGTTCAGAAAATAAAGGGATATCAGATCCAGCTAAATATAAGGAAGATATTGACTTGCATCACATGGATAATATGATGGAAGGGTCAATTAATAATTTTGACATATCTCGGCTGCAATGGAGCTTGCTATCACTGACGCAGAGATCTGTTTTTGAAATGTACAATATCTTAATTAGAAATGAGAAGTATCAAGATGCCTTGAATTTTGCTGATTGCTATGGATTGGATAAAGATGACATTCTGAAGTCACAGTGGTTGCATTCTGATCAAGGAATTAATGATATAAATGCATATCTGTCAAAGATAAAGGATCAAATTTTCATTCTTTCTGAATGTATAGAAAAAGTTGGACCAACAGAAGATGCTGTAAAGGCAATGCTTGATTATGCATTGAAACTAACTAACCATTACCAGTTTTTTGAAGTAGAAGATCTTGAAAGCAGTGATACATGGAATTTTCGCTTGGCTAGACTTCGGTTATTGCAATTCAAGGACAGACTGGAAACATATCTTGGCATAAATATGGGCAGGTATTATGCTTTGAGAAATATTTTAATATTATTCTACATTGAACATTGACATTAAGCCTTATTACATTGCTTTTGACTGAAAAGAGTGTCTCTTACCAATTAGTAGATAAGTAGATATAGCATTCATGTATACTTATAGATTGGTGGATATGAAATAATGTTGTTACATAACCGATTTTTCATGATTATTATGAGAAAGAAGGGATGATTAGTCACTGAAATGGGTTATACTTTTGAACGTTATAAGATTTTGCGAGTCATTTCTACTGTATGTCTGTGTTGGGTTCTTCTTGAAGCTTCATTGTTTTTGTAACTTTGACTAGCAGTTTGACAACACAGTTTCGTCAGGTTTTCTGTGCAGGAATACAGTGACTTCCGTATGAAGCCTATCAAGGATGCTGCAGTCAATCTTGCCGAAAATGGAAAAATTGGGGCCTTAAACCTCTTGTTCAAGCGCCATACATATTCTATGAATCCTTTCTTGTTAGAAATTTTATCTGCTATTCCCGAAACAGTTCCTGTGCAGAGTTATATGCAGCTTCTTCCGGGAAGATCTCCTCCTACTAGCATTGCAGTGAGGGAAGAGGACTGGGTTGAATGTGAGAAGATGTTAAACTTTATAATGAAATTACCTGAAAGTCATGAGCTTAGTTCACAGATTAAAACTGAACCTATTGTCAAGAAACAACTAGGACTTGTCTGGCCTTCAATTAGTGAACTTGCCATGTGGTACATGAAAAGAGCTAGAGACATTGATACTTTTAGTGGACAGCTTGACAATTGTCTCTGCTTGCTTGATTCTGCTAATCAAAAAGGTATTCATGAACTACAAGAGTTTTATGAGGATGTCAGTTACTTGCACCAGATAATTTATTCTGAAGGAGGCGATGATAATATCTGCATTAATCTTGTTTCTTGGGAACGTTTGTCTTCTTATGATAAATTTAAATTGATGCTGAAGGGTATAAAGGAGGAAAATATAATCAGAAGGTTAATTGAAAAGGCAGTTCCGTTCATGAGAAAAAGATCAATTGATAGGACCTCAATTCCTAAAGATTGGCTAAAAGAGTCTGACCTTTTGGAAAACCACGATACAACTGAGTCATTTCTGTTTAAATGGATGAAGGAAATAGCTTTGGAGAATAAGTTGGACATATGCCTGTTGGTCATTGAAGAAGGGTGCAGAGACTTTGAAACTAGTGATTTTTTTGGAAGTGAGATTGAAGCCGTGGACTGTGCATTGCAGTGCATATATTTGTCTACAGTAACTGATAGATGGAGTACTATGGCAGGCATTTTATCAATACTCCCTCAAGTGCAAGGTGATTTAACTTTATAGGCATCATTTTGTTATTCGGTTGTGCAAGTTTATATATATATATATATATATATATATATATATTCTTTTTTCCATTTTTGTATGAAACGCTGCCTTTTCATTTAATAGTTGGAAAGTACGAACCAATACAAGAAAAACTGAGGGAGCTCACAGAAAAAAAAGATTCCAGCTAGTATCTATAAAAATGAAGCTATATAATTATAAAAATAAGTAGAAAGAGTACTCCAATGGTAGCTCACTAAATGAGTTGAGTCCCACAGCTCTGTCGAGTCTTAGCCCTATCACTTTCTTCATTTTAATTTAATTTTTTAATAGGTGACACTTTTCACTGAGAAAAGTTACATAAAAACTTTTGATCTGCATCTTAGGAGTTTTCGGAAAGCACCCCAGTTAGAGTTAGTTACGAAGGGAGTGTTAACTGTGTAAGTACAAAAAAATGTTAGAGATCAACAAGTGGAGCAATGATACTTAGCTAGGTTATAAACCTCCCTCCACTCCATTTCCTTCTCACTGAATATCCAAAAGTTCCTTTCTAAACCAATGGCCATACGAATGCTTTGGCTGCATTCATCCAGAGGATCTTAGCTTTCCCTTTGAACCAGGTAATAATTGAGTCATATTATTTCCGGCTGTTAGTATCTGTTAGCATTTTTCAAATGAAGTTTATTTTCCAATTCACCAGGTGGTTCAAATTACTTTGTCTTGATTTCTGACTTTCTTTTCAAAGTTGGATGCTACTTTGCTCGGTAATTCAAAGACTAACATAAAATATGTTGACAAGCTCCCTATATCAAGTTAGAGAGTCTTGGTATTCTCCCTTTTGACAAACACTTGGTTCCTACCTTCTTAATTTGCTCACGAGTCTTTCTTCAAACGGTCTTAAAAACTCCATATTCCTTGGATTATCTCCCAAGGGCGTGCCCTAGTATGTAAATGGCAGCATTGACCCCAATCCGCAACCCAATTTTCCCTCTGTAATTTATTTATTTATTTTAATGAGAAACACGATTCATTTCAGATAAGATATGAAATTCTAAAAGGGAAGGAAAGCTAAACACCAGCCAAGGAAGTTACAGAACCTCTTCGAATTGGCATAAAAATAGATAGGCTGTAATATTTGAAAGGAGTACAAAATGTACAACATGAGAACCCAACCAAAAGAATCTGGTCCAAAATATATCTATAGATCTAGCTTTACTATTGAAGAGTCTGTTGTTTCACTTAAATGACTTTACAGCCATGCCAGTCAAAGAATAAGATATGGTCCACAATTGTTATGTGAGGCTGATGCAATGCTTTCCTATACTTTAAAGCTATCTAATTTGCACCATAATATTCTACATTAATCATTTGTCTTGCCGCTGCTATTATTTTACTACACTGTTATTGGTAATCTCTGAATTGCGATGGTTTATACTCAAAATCTTCAGACACCAAATTTCCCGAGGACTTGAAAAGAAGACTCAAGCTGGCAGAAGGCCATGTTGAAGCAGGAAGGCTTTTGTCATTTTACCAGGTTGGTAGACTTCTCTTAACCAGTCAAGACTAGTTCTTTAAAACTAATTCTTTACTATTTTCTTTCTAAATTTTGAATTCAACTATATCCAATTTGCTTCCTAATGTAACAGGTCCCAAAGCCAATGCATTTTTTCTTAGAAGCTCAAGATGATGGTAAAGGTGTAAAACAAATCCTGCGCCTTATACTCTCAAAGTTTATTCGTCGACAGTCCAGCCGATCAGATAATGATTGGGCGAGTATGTGGCGTGACATGCAGTGTCTGAGGGAGAAGGCATTTCCTTTTCTGGAGCTGGAGTACTTGTTGATAGAATTCTGTCGGGGACTGCTAAAGGCTGGGAAATTTTCGCTGGCAAGGAACTACTTAAAAGGTACAAGCTCGGTTACTTTGGCAGTAGAGAAGGCAGAAAATCTTGTCATTCAAGCTGCTAGAGAGTATTTTTTCGCTGCTTCAAGTCTTAATGGCCCAGAAGTAAGTTTCCATAATTTTAATTATCAGTTATAATGTGTAGCTGAGATTTTTTAATTGTCTAATGGAACTTCGATTCTAGGAAATTACAAGGGCCAAGGAAGGATTTGAGAGCTCCCTATCCTCTCCACACTATTACTTACCAAAACAAGCAAAAAGATACCCTTACCCCTTCTGCTAGCCGAGATATATCCTGCACTACATAATACCAATTTGCCCATCTAACTAACCCGGCCCTCACATCTCTAACATAAAACCTCACATCCCCTTACATTAGCCCCTTACGTCAGCTGCTCTCGCCCTTGTTGCCTCGTTCTAGAATACACCTTCCAATTGGGGGCCTATCATTTTCTTCTTTTGAACTTCAATTTGTGTCTAATTTTCCAAAATACTTGAACGGAGCTTCAACCTTTTGTCATGTCACTACCTACATAATTATGTGTTAGTTGACATTGTACAGTATTTCAAATTCATCACTAAAATGACATCTTACACCATGGAAGCCCAGCGAACTTAATTACATAATGTTAACACAAGGAACATTGATGATTAAGATATTAGATCTGATTATTTATAGTATTACTCTTATGAACATTTGACAATGTTTTTTATGGATGATTTTATCTAATTGGATGAATTCCAGCAGTTATGGTAGCTCTTATATTTTTAAGTGAACTAGGCAATTAATCTATTATCTCCTGTCTCGCTTAGGAGGGATTGCTTATAACTAATACACCTGAAATAAGTCAAGGATAAGAATGCAAAAATCAACTTTACAATAACTAGTGCACTAAACGAAGTAAACTTGAGTTCTAACTCTAAACTAGCAAGTAGTTTGCTTATGGATTACCCCTGCCTAGTAGTGCAGACAAGTTTGATGATAGCATCGGTAAATCTATTTACAGGTCTGGAAGGCGAAAGAGTGTCTCAACATATTTCCAAGTAGTAGACATGTGAAAGCAGAGGTTGATATTATTGATGCACTCATAGAGTTACTACCAAGCCTTGGAGTGACTCTTTTGCCCATGCAATTCAGACAAATAAAAGATCCAATGGACATCATAAAAATGGTGATTTCAAGTCAGACTGGAGCTTATATACATGTTGATGAACTCATTCAGGTTGGCAAGCTTCTTGGATTGAGCTCTCCAACAGAGATATCAGAAGTTGAAGAAGCTATTGCTAGAGAAGCTGCAGTTGCTGGTGATCTGCAATTGGCATTTGATCTCTGCCTCAGTTTAACAAAGAAAGGGCATGGTTCCGTTTGGGATTTGTGTGCTGCAATAGCAAGGGGTCCTTCCCTTGAGAATATGGATATTAATTCTCGAAAGCATCTACTAGGTTTTGCTTTGAGCCATTGCGATGAGGAATCAATTTCTGAACTCCTCCATGCATGGAAAGAACTTGATATGCAAGGGCAGTGCAAGAAATTATTGATGATGTCTGGGACAGACTGTTTGGATCTTCCAATACAAAATTCTTTGCTTTCCTCGCTTCAAGGAAACGGTATTCAAAATATTGGCGACTTCAAAGATTGTGTTGAACTAGTTGAAGGTGTCAGCATGGGTGGTCAAGAATCTCTTTTAGATGGTATAATGCATATCCTATTTTTTGTTGCAAAAGACTTGCCCGTAGAAAATAGGACTAAATTGAGAACATTTCTGAGAGAGAATGGAAAAATTTTGTCATTTACTTATTTGCAACTCCCTAGGTTGCTTGAACTGAGTAAGAATGCAGAAATTAAGGAATTACATCCTGGAACACAATACTCGAGTTTAAGAACGCAAGCTATTGTTACAATTTTGTCATGGTTAGCTAGGAATGGGATTGTTCCTAAAGACAGCTTGGTCACATCTCTCGCAAAATCTGTTATGGAATCTCCTATGAAGGAGGCAGATTTAATTGGCTGTATGCTGTTGTTGAATCTTGTGGACGCTTTTAATGGGGTTGAAGTTTTTGAAGAGCAATTAAGGACAAGGGAAGACTACCAAGAAGCCTGCAGCATAATGGCCGTGGGAATGACGTATTGTTTGTTGCACGACTCTGGAGTTGAGTGCAATAGTCCAGCTCAGAGGAGGCAGCTGCTTCTTGAAAAGTTTAAAGACAAGAACAGTTTTAGTTCTGGTGATTGGCTTTGCTTTTTATATTATTTTTTTCACACTTTTTTGGTGGATATTTTATTTAAAGGCCACCCCTATATGAGTTTTGAATGTGGTGAAAACTTCTTTCATGTTTTTATTATTTTCAGATCAAAGTAGAAAAACTAACACAGTGGAATCAACGTTTTGGCGGGAGTGGAAACTGAAGTTAGAAGAACAGAAACGTGTTGCTGATCATTCTAGAACATTGGAGAATATTATTCCTGGAGTTGAAACGTCACGCTTTTTATCTGGAGATCGTTATTACATTGAGAGTGTTGTTCTGTCCCTAATTGAATCAGTAAATTTGGAGAAGAAACATATTTTGAAGGATATTCTACATTTAGCTAATACCTATGGCATGAATCGCACTGAGGTATTCAGGTTTGCTACATTTGATATTTTAAAGTGCAAGTATAGAAGACAATTGTGTAATTTTAACCACAAATAAATTTTCATACAGGTGCTACTAAAATATCTATGTTCTATCCTTGTTTCAGAGGTTTGGAATAACGAGGATATTATGGTTGAAATCTCAGAATTCAGAGAGGAGATTATTGGTTGTGCTGCAGAAACCATTGAAATTATTTCCACAGTTGTGTATCCAGCTATTGATGGGACCGATAAGTTGCGGCTACATTGTATATATGGATTGCTCTCTGACTGCTACTTGAAGCTGGAAAAGGCTGGTGGGTTACCACAAAAGACACAACCTGACGAAGTATATGCATCCAATTTCAGCTTGGCTCGTTTTTATAAGATTGTTGAGCAAGAATGCAGACGAGTTGCCGTCATAAAGAATCTTAACTTCAAAAATATTGCTGGATTAAGTGGGCTGAATTTTCAACACTTCAGTAGTGAAATCTCCTTGCATGTTGATGATGGTAATGTAGAAGCTTTGGCACAGTTGGTAGAGACCCTTGCTGGTATCTATTCTGATCCAGTACCTGAGGGTCTCATATGTTCTCAGGACATTTATAAACACTACATCTTTAAGCTATTAACGACCCTGGAGACTAGAATAAGAACTGATTTGAAGAATAAAAGCCCGGAGAACTTTCAGTCTGCTGTGAGTCAACTTGAGCAAAGTTATGACTTGAGCTCTACTTATATTAGATTGTTGTCGCATTCAGATGCTTTGGATGTTATGAAGCAGTATTTCACTGTAATATTACCTCTGTATAGTAACTATGGAGATATACCCGATAACTCGGCGTGGCAGGAGTGCCTCATCATCCTTTTGAATTTTTATATTAGATTGGTAGATGAAATAAGAGAGATTGAAACCAGAGGTGAATGTTTGAAGTTTAATCCCGAGTGCTTAAAGATTTGTCTAAAGGTTCTTATTAGATTGGTTATAGAGGATAGTGTCTCGCCAAGCGAGGGTTGGAACACCATTGTAAACTATGCTACTTATGGATTGCTAGATGATTCTGCTTTCAGAGCTTTTGTTTTGTGCAGAGCTATGGTTTTTTCTCGCTGTGCTTTTGGAGCCGTGGAACAGGTGTTTTCTGAGGCAATATCACTATATCCCGCTACTTTGACTTTAGGCACAGAGATTGAGATCCGGGATCTTCCTCGTCTTTACCTGAACATTTTGGAGCCTGTTCTACTAGACTTGGCCAATTACTCCCATGAGCACCAGAATTTGCACCATCTATTATCATCCCTTAGTAGATTAGAAGGTGATCTGGAGAATTTAAGGAGTACCAGACGTACAGTTTGGGAAAGAATGGCAGAGTTCTCTGATGATCTGCAATTACCCAGCTCTGTTCGTGTCTATGTATTAGAACTTATGCAGTACATCACAGGTAGAAATATCAAAGGTTTCTCATCCGATATACAGTATAATGTTCCACCTTGGGAAGGCTGGGACCAGCTCCAGTATACAACTAAGGAGAGTGAAACAACAACTATTCCATCAACATTAGATGATAAAGATACTTCTAGCAGGTTTACGAGTACTTTAGTTGCCCTAAAGTCAACTCAACTTGTAGCGAAAATCTCACCCAGCTTAGAAGTCACATCCGACAACCTTTCGAGTATTGAGACTACGGTTACTTGCTTCAAAGAATTGTGTGTAGCTGCAACTACAGATATTCATGCAGATATTTTGCTGGCCATTCTGGCAGAATGGGAAGGACTTTTCCTGATTGAGAGAGATGAAGCTGAAGCCTCTGCATCAGTCGGTGGAGGAAATGACTGGAGTGTAGATGGTTGGGATGAAGGCTGGGAAAGTTTTCAGGAAGCAGAACTGGCAGAGAGTAAAGGGAGAGAGACTTCCCCTTCACTTAACCCTTTACATGTCTGCTGGACAGAAATTTTCAAGAAACTTGTTTCTCTTTCTCGGCCTAAGGATGTGCTAAGATTTGTTGACGAGTCTTTGTCAAAATCTAGTTGGATATTGCTTGATGAAAATGATGCCAAAGCTCTGAGCCACATTTTGAACGAGAAAGATTGTTTTGTGGCTTTGGAGGTGGCGATGCTGTTGCCTTATGAAGCATTAAAATTGCAGTGTCTGAATGCAGTTGAAAGCAAATTGAAGCGAGATGGAATCTCAGATGACTTGGGCGGAGACCCTGAAATTTTATTGCTTATATTATCCTCTGGATTTGTATTGAGAATTGTCCTCGATTCTTCTTATGATAGCACTTTCTCCTATCTCTGTTATCTGGTGGGAAAATTTTCTCGTCGCTTTCAAGAGGACCAATTAGCATACCTCAAACAGAAGGGGAGGAGCGCAAGTGATAACAATAGGAGGGACTTGCAGCTTTTCAGGAAGATTGCCTTCCCCATCTTCATATCAGAGCTTGTAAAGGCTGATCAATCTGTTCTTGCTGCACTTATGGTTACAAAATTTATGCACACAAATACTTCTGTGTGTCTTTTGAACGTTGCAGAGGCTAGTCTTCGTCAATATTTGAAGAGGGAGCTCCACGCAGTACAGAATGATGAATCTGGTGAATTGGTGCATGAAATTTTGAGATACACTGTTTCCAGCTTGAGAGAGAAGCTGGGAAGCCTAATCGAAACGGCATTGTTGTTGCTTTCTCGAAATTGAGATGATTTCTTACAAGTTAGGCAACACGAATTGGGATTAAGCGAAGGTTTGTTTTAGTTTCACTGTCATTGAGCTTATAAGATTTTTATTTTAGTTGAACAGAGTGAGTTGTACATTAGGCATTTGGTTTCCAAATACAGAAAAATATGTGATATAGGTTAGTTATGTGTAAATCCCTCTTTTTCACTGTTCGGGCTGTGTTAATATATCGGGCTAGTTATGGGCTGAACGTATGTATAGGTGGTTTTGGTTTCACGGCTCTTTATTACGAGTCCTAACAACATATAGGATGGAGATTCGAACTTCCTAACTTTAGATCGAGAATGTATGCATATTTTAATTAGTTGAGTTATATTAAGATTGGTCACGTATTTTTAGTCCTTAAATGATGGTAAACACGCTAATATCCATCAATAATAAAAGGATCGAGAGAGATTTCAGGGTGGAGTAATCAGTAGGGCCCAAGGGGGTGTGCAGGGGGGAAAGGAGGGCACTTTAAGACTTAAGAATTATAATTTATGGAGTTTTATATTTATAATTATTGTTAAATAAATAGATAATTACTAATATTTTAAGAAATGAAATTCAATTTTTTTGAAACTATGTGCAAACAAGCAGTTGGATAGATTTTGGGCCAATAATGGTTTGTGGGCTTCGTCGATCTCGGGTCCATTAGATCTCACAATAATGGTCGGGTCCTACCCGAACCCGACCGCATATCCTCCTATTTAATAATTTATCTATTTTCAATTTTGGCGGTAATGATTAAAAAAGAATCCCAAATAAACATTTCGCGGTAAAAATAGGTGAGAGACGGATCTCATCTGACCCAATCTCTGAATTACCACTTTTGCAGAATACTCTCGATCTCTTCTAAGCACGTGTTCTGTTTATTGTAATCAGTGGATGAAAAAGCGAGTATCCAACTTTTATATACTCTCAAGAAACATTGATTGCCTTTATTTGACGCCTTCTGTTATTACAATAATCTTGATTGTCCGCCATAGAATAATAAAATAAAATAAAAAATGGAAATCGACCCGTAGACTGTACCCAGAATGAACATCAAAAGCTCTTCGCCTCTCGCTCTCTCTCTCTCTATTTCGTCCTAATTCCGGTTGCGAAGTAATTGTTTGACAAGAAATTGAGCATTTATATGATCGATCTGAAGATGGAAAGATTGCCCGCGGAAGTCTGCCTTAAGATATTTTGTTTGTTGGATTCACAGAACCTCGCTACTGCACTACAAGGTCAGCAACATATTATCTCTAAATTAAATTCACGTTTGACGTTTCTTTCTTGAATTACATTCAGAACGGACCTTTTTTTAGCTATACACTGGGCAATCCGCTAGATTTTAGCTTGAAATTTGCGATCTCTCGCTGGAGGAGTTATGTACTAGTTTCCGTCAGATAATTGATAAACCCAGAAAAATTATGTTCTTTACTGTCAAGTATCTGATCCAAAGATCTGAGATGGTATTTTGAATTCTTCAATGAATTGTCTATCTTGACTTCATGTTTGCGTCTTCTCAATTGACTTTATCAACGGCTTGGAATGCAACATGTTGCTGGGAGATTAACCGTTCATACTTCAGACACGACCAATATATAGATGTTTTATTATGATTTACAACTAATTAATGGTGCATTCGTGCTAACTTGTGTCAAATAAATGTTGTCCTGTTGATACATAAAGACACAAATGGTATTTGGTAAAACTGCAAATCTTCTCCACGATGAATGTCTTGGTTAAAATCTTTGATAGACTATTCATATGTTCCCCTAGTTTAAACTGTGATTAAAGTATTTTGAACTTTTATTTGTTTCCACATAATGCCTCCATCTAAAATATCCGCCAATCAACAAACTGAATTGTAAGTTTAGCAAATAAATATGAAATATAAAATAATTTATATTACCTTCGCTGATCCCTTTAACCCCCTCAACTCTCTCTTTATACTTTACCGATATGGGTTGGTGGGAAGAACCGATAATGGTAAATTTCATGAGAGTGAACAACCGTAATGGTACCGACTTGAGATCAGAGTTGATAGAGACCTAATGGAGAAAAATTCCTCTGATTGAACGGAAGCCCAGATGAAGAGGGAAGTTCAGCCTTTCTAACTTAGATGGGTTATCCCTTAGTTAAAGGGGGCTTTCCCCTTCAACCTAGATAAACAAGTAGAGGAGGTGGGGAAAGGACCTTTTAATGTGGTAGGTGTCAAATGGGAAAAGATTCTCTAATGTGCTGAAAGAGTTGAGAGATAAAATAGACGTAAGATAATGGGGAACATCCCTTGCCTTCCTTGTTACTACTCTATTAAGATGAGAGGACCAACAAACTTCTGAAGGGGGAAAAAAGAGTTGAAATTCTCAGGGTAGTTTTTTAATATTATTGAAGTCGGGGACCAAGACAAATGGATAAATAACTGAAATGTAGGACTAAAAGCTATATTTAATCTTTATTGCCTCACCCTCTATTGATTTATTGCCTCAATTGGCTATTAGCTATTAACGCTGCAACCTGCTGCTTGAAGTTTGCTGGAAGTGGAACTCCTTAGCTTCAGACAATCTCTTGTGGTCAAGCTTATTCAAGGAGAGGTGGGGGGAAGACCATGCTGCATTCTATCATCCTATCGGCTCAAAGTCATGGAAGGATGCATATGAGGTGCAAGATCGATGTGATCGGTTTGGATTGTGAGTCATATTTTTCTTCTTATCACTCAATTTAAGGAGACGTACTTCAATGTAGGATATATCTGATTGCAAACACACCCATTGTGATTTCCTGAATTCATGGACAAGTTAGCATTTACTGAACTGTAGCTATATGATCCTGCTAGCTCACAAGTTATGTTTTGACTAGAAAAACCATGTTTGATAATATAACGTTAGAGAAGAGATTTGAATTATGATTAGATTATATGTTTATTTGTGCTTCATATGACATAGCAACTGTAACCAGGGGCCTAAGAATAATCCGAGAAGGGAATGACTACTATCTCATTCACCAAGGTGAGATCCAAAGGCACCTAGGTTCAAGAAGACAGAAGAATGGGCAGAATAACTTTCTTCCTTTGAGTTCAAAAAGAGAGTTCCTATCAGAAGGAATTCTCGAAGAAGACAAATCCTGTCGAGGAATTCTGGATAGAATCCTGTTCTTCATTGGGGATTTGGAAGTTGCTTCAACAGATGCAAAGCGTAGCAGGGTCCTGTGAAGCTTCCTTCGGTCAGCAAAATTATGTGAATTTTATGTATAATCTTTATTTATGTGTATGTTGACATCGAATTCTGGTAAAAGTAGTATGTACATCTAATCTAATGTTCTTTGAAAGCCATAAATAAGTTCATCTTCTTCAAGCACCTAGTTTTGAGACCTCGAACCAAAGCCTCACACCGGCAGTCTGAAACTACCACTTGACTTTCAGCATTACCCTGCATACTTGAAAAAGCAGAAGGGCTAATTCCACATCTCGTAGGTAGCCACTTTATTGGGACTTTTTTCTGGTTTCTTGTGGCCATGCCTCTTAACTGGAACCATAATCCAATAAGAACTTTTCTGGTGTGTTGTGCTGGTTTCTGGTTTTTTATAACTCTATATAAAAGTTATAGCTTGTAGTTGTAGGTGGAATTGATGTTTAAATCCGAGACTATTTTCTTTGCTTACTCGGATTTTTTGAACAAGATACGAACTTTCATTGTTAGACGAAAAGGAACAAAATTGTTCAAAGATACAAACTTCAAAAGGAGTGAAAGAGAAAAACAAGAAATAAAATGTAGAGTATTTGCTTACTTGGATTTGATGTTAGATAAAACCAGGTTGACAATCAGAGAGATCATTGAAGCATGAGATGAGAATTGCAAACTGGAGCTTCCAAGTTGCAATTGAATGATGGATTAACATCATGTTGATACTGCCTGATTTTCCAACTCAAAAGCTCAAGTCTTTCCAAGTGGAAGGCCTTGACTAGTGAGCAAGATGAAACCCTTATCTTTACAATTATCAAGTTTTCTAAACCTATTGTCATTCGTGATAATAATGCTTACAGTTCGAAACTAAATTCTAAAGCCTACACCAAAATCTGCAGAAAAATACAGTTTTTTTCTCCTTTGGCTTGTACGGGTGCTGGAGTTCATGGCTTCTGATCTTGGCTTGTTTGACATCATCTCACCTGGACGCTAAGCAAAGGTAAGCAACTTGGATCAGTTCCTCCATCGATATTTAGAGTAATTAAGATGATTCATGCAGTTAAAAAAAGAATGTTTAACCATCTTGGCGAGATGAAAAACATATCTCCCCACAATATCACATAAGATTATTCTTGATTTCTCTGGATTTGAACCTGTACTATGAGCAAGCTGGACAAATGTCTTGCTCTACATCGTAATTAAGATGATTCATGCAGTTAAAAAAAGAATGTTTAACTATCTTGACGAGATGAAAAACATGTCTCCCCACAAGATTACATAAGATTACTCTGGATTTCTCAAGATTGTTGGTGGATTTGAACCTGTACTATGAGCAAGTTGGGCAAAAAACCGCAGTTGTGGTAAAACCGAAACTGGACGCTTGAAGTCAGGTAGCTGTAAATGTTTTTTTTTTTTTTTTTGTGTGCATAATAACAATTGGGCATCTACCTCAGAAAGACGAGTCTGCCCTTCTGCTCAGTGCCTCCTCAAACTAAAACGGGGGTCTTTGAGTAAATTACAAACAGCTCAGAAACATTCAATAAAGTTGCTAGAACTTGTAATGTAAATATAAAAAAGGCCGAAAAGTTGAGGATGATAGAAATCTATATCGGAATAGACCAAGTAAAATATCCACCACAAACCCAGATTATGGGAAATCTAAATATCCACAATCACCTGCCCCACCAGCTCCCAAATATCTAGCAGTTCCCAATTATATAAAAGCATCGACATTAAATGCTGAACAGTTTTTTTTAACTGATTTTGCTGGAGGAACTGGAAGCTCTAAAATATGGCTGCTTTCGCCTCACTGACCCTGACTTCATCTTCATCTTCTTTACATCCTACTGTCCAAATCTCACCTCTTGTACTCTCCTCAAAATTTCTTTATGACCCAAGTTCCTATCGCCCCACAGTTGGATCATTCAGACATGCAAAGCAAAAATTTGCCCCTCAGACCAATCCAAGGAGCCTCATAATCCTTGGTGCAGCAACAAAACAAGCAAAAACACCAGGTATTCTCTTCTACTTGATCTAATATTTAATCAGCCAGTGGCTTCTTTTCAAAGTTCCAATCTTTTAATTTTAATCCATTTGTATAAAAGTGGGTTTATTCTCTTCTATCTGGAGGATTCAGCTGAAGAGGATTGGAAGGTGAAGAGGGAAGTTCTGCTGCAGAAAAGGGTACGAGTCTCTCTCTCTCTCTCTCTCTATAACTTCGGAGTATATATAAATTGGATGAGTGTTCAGTTTATTGTCCTTAAACTACGCGGAGAGACATCGCTCAAGTTTTCGTCACAAAATGCATCCAAAAGTATATCAGAAAGACCGATTTTTGGGCGTAACAAAGCCTGAATATTTGTGAAGTGAAGTTGGACCCCAACAAGTATTATTCAAGATGCAAAACAGGAGAGTTAAAATTCTCACGATAGAGCTATTGACTGCAGGTAAGGAGTGTTGACGCGAATGAAGCTCTGCGCCTTCAGAAGGAAAATAACTTCGTGATTCTTGATGTAAGGCCAGAAGCAGAATTCAAAGAGGTTAGTTCATTTTCAGTTTGAAGGTCGATCAGCTGACAGTGGATTAACGTGTGATGATTTGCATTTGCCTCCAAATCCAGAACAGTCAATGTAACGTTATATCTTTTTTCCACTGTTTTGGTGTAGGGCCATCCACCAGGTGCCATTAATGTGCAAATCTACAGGCTTATAAAGGAGTGGACAGCATGGGACATCGCCAGGAGAGCTGCATTTGCATTTTTTGGCATCTTTTCGGGTACAGAAGAAAACCCAGAATTCTTGCAAAGTAAGTTACTTGGGAACACTTTCTTTGCTCGCCATGTTGTTTAATGATATGCAGGATCAAAAGTGAACGCCGTAGTTTATTCCAACAGGTGTAGAATCAAAAATAGATAAAAATGCCAAAATAATAGTAGCATGCTCATCCGGTGGGACAATGAAACCCACCCAGAACCTCCCAGAAGGTCAACAATCAAGGTACTGAAACTCTACATAGTAACTTTTTGAGTTTATACCCTTTCTCAAATCCTCAGAGCAATATGCATATATTATGTGCATTACATTTCTTCGTAATTTCATAAGGATCACTCTTCATCTCGTTGACATGCCATCTAACGGACAGAACAGTTCAAATAACAAAGATTATTTTCTATGGTCAAAGAAACTAAGCAGCCAGTAAAGAATATGGAGAATAAATAAGATGAATCTGCATATTAGCCATTATCGCTTCAACTCATCCATTACAATCCTTACACGCTTCATGTTGGGAGTCACATGTGCCTTCTGTTTCTCACATGAGGCTTCGACTTCTGCTACTTTGAACAGGTCACTGATAGCAGCCTACTTGTTGGTTCTCAATGGCTATACCAACGTATTTCACTTAGAAGGGGGTCTCTACAATTGGTTCAAAGAAGGATTGCCTGTAGTTTCAGAAGAGTAAGGTATCTGCAAGATTTTTCTGCTAATAACATTGGAAAGTAAACCGTAGCTTGCCATTTTTGGTAGACGCCATAAAAAAGCACAGGCTGGCTTGGGTTGAGTGTGACGGCTTCACCAACCTTCAATCTTACCATCTGTGTGCTGAACCAGGAACCATTTTAAATATGCATTCATAAGATGGACAGTATAGTAGAGTAGATTATGTTTTAGAATGGAATCCCCCCTCCCTTCTGGATGCTTGTTTTGTAATGAAGAATGTGCATGTATGACCTTTGCCTGGGACTATTATCCTTTCCAGTTGATGTATTTAACTCTATTAAAATCAATAAATCAGTACAGCTTACTATAAGCTAGAAGGCTGCGCATCCTATGAGTCGAACAAACATCGAAACAGTTGCTTATTAATTTTCAAAACCGAAATCGGACAGCAAGACTTGGACATTGTGTAGTAATTTCCCCTATTGTCGTCGTGCTACTTGTTGGAGGCTACAGCAGCGTTTGCATCTTAAAGTTGCCATTTAAAACTGTGGAGAGAGCTCTTGGACAAATAACAGGAGGGTTTCTGGTACAAGTGGAAACGTGTAAAATAATGGAAGCATTAAGACGTATATTCCAGAACACACCTATTTAAACTCATCAACATGATTTTGTACTTCTGTGGCTTTTCCCTATAACAATTATAGAATCATGAATGTTAAAACTATGGCATTACTGTAATAAATAAAAACAGAAATCTGTCCCTCTCCCCACGGGTGTCTTTTTCCTGCACCAAAGATGAGTAGAGTCGGGATCTCTCTCTCAAGTGTCATCTTCGTCTGATCCAACAGTTTCTGGGGAAATGCCAAACTTAGAGAGTTCGCTCAACAATGCTCGAATCCCACTGGGCTCTGTCCGTTGCGACCTTAATCCAGCGTACTCGCTAGCAACAACCTTCGTCTTCCTTGATGAGACAAGAGCAGTTTCCAAATCTGACTGTGACAGTGGCCTCGGTGACTGAAAAGTAATCATGCAAAAGAAACTGAGTTACATAAAGGGAGAGGAAAGGAAGCAATATCACATCTACGAAAAGCTAAAAAAGCGAGTTGCAAGGCCTCTTAATCTAGAATCTAAATAACACTTCCAATCCGAAGGATACTCAATACTTTTTCATTCTAATTGCAATATAAGCATTGACCGGGGCTGGCAGATAAACATCAGGAACACAAAGAGAACAGGTTGATAACAACTTACATTAGACTGTTTTCCATTCTTTTCTTCATCCAGTAGATCCCTGATTGGAAAATAAGCAGCTTTCTTGCAGAGCTCGAGAAGATCTGAACCTGTATACCCCTCGCATAAGCTAGCTATAAGATCATAGTCAATGTTGTCTTCGACCTTCTCACCCTTCAGAATCACCTTTAGTATCTCAGCCCTCTCCCTTTTGTTGGGTATCCCAATTTCAAATTCCTGAGGAAGTCTTCTTAGAATTGCTTCATCAAGTTCTGATGGACGATTGGTAGCAGCAAGGACCATAACACGTGCATTCTCTGTAGAAAAACCAGAATATAATTCATCAAGCAAAAGCTTATCCTAAACTTACTAATGAACATATGGGTTTCCAACAAAAAGCCTACTAATGAACAAAGCGAATTAGTTCTTTAAAGAATAAAATAAAAGAAAATCCTGGTTATGGCAAGATAAAAGGAAACAATAATATTTCATCAAAAGCACAGCAACTAACGCTTGAAAAAACACTGGTCTGGAGTCCAAGAAACTCACGATCTGTGGTAAATCCATCCCATAAAGCCATGAACTCAGTTTTCATATTTGATAAAGCTTCATGATCACTAGAGCGTCGCTGACTCAAGAAACTGTCAACCTCATCAATGAATATAATAGATGGCTGAAGTTTATAAGCCAAACTGAACACAGCAGCCACTGCAAAATATAAGTTCATGTTAGTTAAAATATAAAGCAAAAACGCATTTGTCTGAATATGTCAGTTATATAATTTCTTAATGCAATGATCAACTAGAAGTAGACATAGTATCATTATGTACTTAATTGCTATATTGTCACTGAAGAAGATATATTTACACCTAATATGCATTTTATATATTGTTACAATATATTCTATTTTAATGCAGAGCAGGTACACGTCAACTCGTATGGCTTCTTCCCTCATTTAGGATGACATAAATAGAGCCTCCTTTGATCCATTCATTCGTCACAACATCTATTTTTCTGTTTATTTTAATTTTTAAATGTGCCTCTCTTCATTTAGGATGACATAAATAGAGCCTCCTTTGATCCATACATTCCTGCTTGGCAAGCAAAAAGCCAGTAGCCAAGGGTCCGATTCATGCCTGAAAGCTTTCTCAGCACTCAAATATTGAATACTTCCATAACACTAGCAATTAACGTCAGAAGGATAGATGGTCAAGCAACGCAATGACGTAAAACCCGGGGGCAAAGTAATGTTAATATTATCTTTAAGGGTATAATAGCAATAATTAGTTTTTTAGAGTCAGAGTGGTTATAAACAGAGTGAGTGAGTTCTTTTAACACCTTATGGAAGAAACTCCATTTTATAGTATCCACTTTGTGTAAAAAATACAACACTTGCAGAGAACTTTTTGTAACTTCCCTAGTGGCGATTCCTATTTTATGGAACATTTCATTATATCACTGAAATTGTCTCTTCTGAAAAATAACAGCAATGAGTAGAGCAGGGGAGTTTGAAAAAGTAGGCAAATTTGGAAGTAGTTCTTTTCTCTGGCTATACCTCAAAGTGCTTGGGCAATGTAATTTTCCTTTCTTATCTCGCTAGCATTTTCAATTACATTTTTAGTTCCTATCACATTAATGCAAAATTTTGTAATAGGCAAAAGGATTCTCTTTAACACTAAATGAAACAAAATAAAACTTAACCAAAGAACCCAAAAATATATTTTCAGCAATAGCAATGTCACAGCCATTGATATGATTTCAGAGCTATGACATATAAGGCAACCTTATCTTCAAATTTTAGTAAAATAACAAATGTTATCACAACAATCAAAACCTAACACTATATGGAAATAAAGAACCAAAATCTGAGATAAGCTAAATTATAATAATTTTGGGATAATAATTGATACCCAGTTTCTAACTTCACTCCAGCTCAATATTGGAGACCAAACTAAATGTATATCATGTACTCATCACTTATATGGCACAATTACAATTAAAAAAAAAAAAACCGTATTTACCATATCAGCTAAAAGTTGTGTGATGCAGTGAACTGCAAGAGGTTCCTATTTAAAAAAAAACGCAGTGAAGTTCATAAATTGTAATTTAATTCTTACTTTGAAATTCTTGATATTGCAAAGCTAATTACTCAGATGCAATAAATTGGAAGGCCTTATTAAATCATATTCGCATAACCACACATATTATTCCAGAATTAGCAAGGAAAACCTCATGTGAAGAACGTGGTTAAAGAATAATCTAAAAATTTTGAGCCTACCAAGCTTCTGAGCGTCACCGAACCACTTGCTCATCAGATTTGAAATCCTAACATTAATAAAAACTGCTCCTGACTCCTTTGCAATAGCTTTTGCAAGCATAGTTTTTCCTGTACCAGGTGGCCCATAAAGCAATACGCCTTTCTGGGGACCTAAAAGCTTCCCGTACGAAAATAATTCAGGTCTCCTTAGAGGGAGTATCACAAGTTCATATAATGCTTGCTTGATAGTCTCCAGTCCTCCAATAGAGTTAAATTCCACATCAATGTGATCAGGATTTATAACATCACAGGCAATGACATCCTGTAGGAAGGCAAAAAGATTGGGGTGAAACGATAATGATCCATAGACTCAATCAAAGTGGATGGCATTTTGAATCCAATGAAGAAAATATTCATGCAACAAACATCCACGTGCATTAACCGATACACATACTACTTTGTAGGTTATTTATCACTTTCTCATACGCTTGTTAAGGCTAAAACATCTCAATTTACACCAATATCGGTAATATCAATCCCATGAACAAGTGTATGCAAGAAAGTAACCATCTTATACATCAAATATGTGAAGACATTAATGGATGCGAGGTTTTCAACCTAACCCACAGAATCAACTAAAATATACTATTATCTAACAGCATGCGTCATTTTCAGACAATAACACAAGAAACTCGAGTAATAGATAGAACCGTCTCTCCATAAAACATTTAACCAAGGTAGTGCTCTACAGAAAATTGCAAAGATAAATGGTAACAAAGACGGATAAATGTCACGTTTCCAATTAGAACAATCGAGAATATAAATTGGTGCATTGAATTCTTTTTCCTCGTTAAAGAGGAAGTAATAGGTACCTCATAAGGGTTAGTCTGAATAAGTGGGCGGCCCAAGCGCTTGGCAATCTCCTTCTTATGCTCAAGAGCTTTCTTCGAAGCGTCGCGGTTGGGGTCAAGGTGCCGAAGACCAGCGAACAATACCAAGCAACTTAAAGCTGCACTCGCTGCGTAAAGAATGAGTTCCTGCAAGAACTTGGTCTCTGATGAAACCCCCATGGAGGATTCTCTCCAACCAAATAAAAGCAGGAAAGAGCGGGTGAAAGCTTTGGATTGAATCAACGACAATAAAAGCTGTGATTTCTCCCTGGAACTACGAACCGAAACGACGAAGAGAATTATACCGAGAGACCCGCGGTGTCGGAAAAAGGAGAGGACCCCATAACTGGAAGTCTGGAGAAGGAGAAGACCAACGGAATTGGGCTTTGATTTTGGACCAAAATATTGGGCTTTTGACTTTGGACCCTTGAATTGGGCTCTAGATTTTGGAACAAAGATGGGCCTAAACCCAGCCCAATGATTTTCTTTCTATATATACACCCTCTTAACTATGCCTTTTAAAGTATTTATAAACTTGAAAAACAAAATAAAGGAATTATCAGTAAATAAATTTTATAATCTAAAAATATATTTTTTTTTAAATGAAATCTTAAAAGTTATAATTTCATCGATATATTATATGGATGTGACGAAACAATACCCACTAAAACATGAATAGACAAACAAATTCTTACAAAAATTATTATTTTTCTATATGTACAGTACAATGTATAGCTCAAATGTAATAGTATGTCATTCTCTCTCTTTCAGCCACTCTGCTCATTTGACATAAGATCTAACTTTCATTATCCTCTCAATCTGATTTAGGGCGAGATCTATCTTCAATTCTATCTATCTAGGATCTATTACAATCAACTTTGGATCCTATTAAAAAAATATTTAAATTAGTCGAGGCATCTACAAGTTGACCGAGACATTCATGTATATCTGCGTAAATACCTAGGAGCCAAAGTTTAATTTGTTTTGTTATATATATATCACGCACTTAGGATCATGCATTTTCTTTATTCAATACTCATATTATACTAAATTATTTACTCGCTATTATGACATATTGATTTGATAATGGGAATCGTTTCAACAAATACTATATTAGTATTAATTAGATACTTACGAATCTTTTTTTTTTTCATGTCATCAAAATTGTAGATAACAAATTCTCTAGTATCCATAAATAAAATTAATATAGTTGAAATACGCATAATTCAACTAGCTTACTTGAAGATCATAATTCAAATCCATCTCCACCTTGAACTAAAAGAGAAAAAGAAAAGAAAGCTAATCTAAAAGTAAAAGAATAAAGAGAAAAGATATAAATAAAGGAAAAAAAAGAAAAGAAAGTTAATCTAAAAATAAAAGAATAAATATAAAAGATATACAATATAAAATAGAGGAGAGGAGAGGAAGACATCTTTGAAAAGAAAAGGCATCTTAAGCGTGAAATTAGTATCAATCATGAATGATGAAGCAAGCAAATTGCAGGTCCAGCCAAATGATCGAACCTTAGCCTTAGGGCCACTGCCATTTGGAAAAGAAAATTGGACTGTAGGACATCCTTTAATTACCATTATTAGTTGAGGGTTGGAAATAATATTCCAATTACACTCTCCTCTCACAAACTTCAGCTTAAATTTTAAGCTTTTAGTTTCTACCACTTTATTTTCTAATTGGGGTACAAGTGACAGTGATATAAACAAAATTTAATATTCTTTTCCAACGTTATACTTACTCGTAGACATTTCAAAATCTACAGCAATATTATGGTTAAAATACTATTTTAGTTCATGTACTTTTAGCTTTGGTTCATTTTAATCCATATGCTTTTAAACTATTCGTTTTGGTTTATGTACTTTCAAAAGAGACCGTTTTGGTCCCTATTTAACACAAATTCTACATGTTACGGAAATCATTTAACATAAAGTCATGGTTACATTTCTGAGAGTAGTGTTGTATTGAAATTGTGATAGAAAAAATGAGATTAAAAATAAATTAATTGATCAAAACAAACATTTTGAAAGCAAGGTTGAAAATATAAGATCAAAATGAACATTTTAAAAGTACATACATCAAAATGATGAACCAAAATTAAAGGTAGATCAAAACAACATTTTAAGGTAATATTAAATTAACTCCATGTAACTTAGTAACCTTGAAATAGTTACAATTAGTGGCTTTTAAGTTTTTAACTAATAAAAAAATATTATTAAAAGGTAAAGGAGAATCGTCAACGTAGTTTAGTAAATCAAATTTAATAAGTTTAAATTTTGCGGCCAGAAAGCACTTATTTAAAAATAATATTTACAAAAAAGAATTATCATTTAAAAATATTAATAAAAAAAAAGTTGAAATTAGTATTTTAATGTTAAACTGGCCATAAGGGCAAATAAGTATTTTCATCGTGGAAAAAAGTTGAAAAGTAAAAATAATATGGTGAGGAATCACAAATACTAGTTTTTAGAAAATGGGTAGAAAATCAAAAGTCAGAAAATTTTGGGATAAAAAATTCCACTTACCGAGGTTTATTAATCTAATTTGTTTTTCTTTTCATTTTCATTATTTTGAAATTCTTACATTTTCAAAATTGAGAGAGGATCCAACCAAATTATTTGCCCATATTCCAAACGCAAGAATATGCGGCAGAAAAGGGAAGAGATCGGAATTGGGATTACATCACTGTCTTAAAAGGACAAATCTTTTTCCTTTTTCAAAAAGGAGAACAGCCTTCTTGGCTTCTTTTCTTTTCTTTTTTGTTCTCCATTTCCGGTTCGTACAAAGAAATTGGTTCAACCAGAGTCGTGTGGTTCCCACGTGACGGTCGGCTGGATAGAGCCTTTCGTTGACTCCACACCATCGGATTAGATCACAGACATCCAATCTCGCATCACCAAACCAGCGTCCACCCTTCCTGCAGCTGCAGCCTGCCACCAACAACGCTTGCAATGCTAAGAATGGGCGTTTAAAAAATGTTACTTTTTGTTACTTCAAGAAAACTAATTAATGATTAGCCCAAAATTAGTTTCAAGTTAATCGCACCATGGCTGGCTGTAATTTTCTTGTCATTATGTTGACATAATCAAATGAATCATTGCCCTTTTCGTTCCGTACACCTTAAACACCCATCCCTTTTTCTTTCCTTTTGTTGCGAAGAAGCTCAAACCTTTTTACTGCTAAGTGGATCGCCCAATTAGCTCATATTCCATCATCACCAACAGAGAGATGAGTCAACTATTGATTGTTTGGTGGATTTTCAACCCAACATGTGGAAAATTAAATGCCGAAGAAAAGGTAAGGTCGAAGACTTGCGCTTGTGTAGTACAAAACCGAGTTGTTGTACTTCTTTGCAGTACATAAAATTTTGGTCTGGTTTGAGACAGGATTTTCAATTCCCATTTCGCTGCTCAGCTGATTATAAATATTGGGATCTCTTTTACTTGTGTCAGGTTCATGTATCGCCATTCCAATGGTTGGCTGGAGTTCAGAGAGAATGAAGAGTTTCGTAAATCTCCTTCGGAGTGTAATAAGAGTCAGCGCAGAGATATAGGACTTGAAGATTGGAAAATTCAAGCTTGAAGGAAGACTATAATATTAATAACCCACTTGTCTTCTTGTTTCCCCATGCTGAGAATCTTGATTAGAAAAAAGCAGAAGGGCTGTCTCCGAGTCAAAATTTTGAATTTTCCATCCTGAAAGAATAAGAAGTCTGAAACTACGGTAAGTCCTTTAACGGGGTTGCATTCGTTATCTTCAGTCTCATCTAATACTGAACTATTTAGACATCTGCTTTCTGGGTTCTTACTTTTTTTTGAAACTATGCGCGACTTGTAGATAACTGAATCTGATTGAACTGAAGAACTTGGTACTCCCAATGGGGAACGCGAACAGGGAAGAACTGCAAGAGATTGAGACTCCTGACAGCGTAGACGAAGAGAAGACCCGAGATGAGCCAGAGGTTGTTAAAAGAATTGCACCTTGGACTAGACAGATAACAGTCCGGGGTGTTATTGCAAGCGTAGCAATAGGAGTCATGTACAGTGTGATTGTGATGAAGCTCAATCTGACAACAGGTTTGGTCCCAAATTTGAATGTCTCGGCTGCACTTATTGCCTTTGTCTTTATTAAGACATGGACTACGCTGCTTCAGAAAGCTGGATTTGTATCCACTCCATTTACACGACAGGAAAATACTGTAATTCAGACATGTGCTGTCGCTTGTTACAGCATTGCTGTTGGAGGTCAGAGAGCTGCGAGCTAGCAAATGTTTGCCATGGAAATGCCTTATTGCTGTGTTTGATATCAAGTTGTTGTTTCAGGCGGCTTTGGATCATATTTGTTTGGTCTGAGCAGGAAGATATACGTGCAGGCTGGCATAGACACAGATGGAAATGCTCCTGGAAGCACCAAAGAACCTGGAATTGGTTGGATTACTGGCTTCCTCTTTGTCAGTAGTTTTGTTGGACTTCTTGCCTTGGTTCCTCTCAGAAAGGTATATTTCTTTCTGATAGAAGTTATGTGCTTGAGAACTTTAGATGTTTTATTAACGGCATCTTTCATTGTAGCGCAGATTATGATAATAGACTATAAATTGACTTATCCAAGTGGTACTGCAACTGCTGTTCTCATTAATGGTTTCCACACACCAAAAGGAGACAAGATGGCCAAGTATGCAATTCCTCACATCTCTAAAACTGAACTGAATGGAACTTGAATTGAAAAGAACTCATAAGAACTGTTATTTTTTTAGGAAGCAGGTTCGTGGATTCATGAAATACTTTTCATTCAGTTTTCTCTGGGGTTTATTCCAGTGGTTTTATTCTGGTGGAGATAACTGTGGATTCTTGCAGTTTCCTACGTTTGGATTGAAAGCTTGGAAAAATTCGTGGGTGCTCAACATCTTGCCCTTCTTCATCTTCTTGCCATAAATTGGCTTTCTTCCTAAAGTGATTGACGAACGTATTTTGCAGGTTTTACTTCGATTTCAGCATGACTTATATTGGAGCAGGGATGATTTGCTCCCATATCGTGAACTTGTCATTGCTTCTTGGTGCAATTCTTTCTTGGGGCATAATGTGGCCCTTAATGAAGGGACTTAAAGGGGAGTGGTATCCTGAATCCCTCTCAGACAGCAGTATGAAAAGCCTTAATGGTTACAAGGTGTAAAATAGGAAATGAGAGGTTTCTTTGACATTACAGAGACAGATCATTATTGAAGTCTATTCTGAATTCTGCTTTCTTGTTCGCTTGTGTGGTGCAGGTATTTGTATCAATTGCTCTGATACTTGGAGATGGGCTTTATCATTTTCTTAAGATCCTGTACTTCACTGCCTCGAGCATGTATGCGAAAGCAACCAACAAGGAGCTTAAAACATGTAAAGTGATGGTTTCTATATGTTGTTTCCGTCAATTTGTGTCTGCTGAAGCTTAGCATGAAGCTAAGTTACCTCTCACCACTTGCAGCTTTGTACACTATATGGTTATAAGATATAAGTGTGGCTCCTTTATTGTAATTCACCTCTTTCTTCTTGGGGTGGATTCACCTTAGTTAATGTAGCTCACAGTCACATAGTGCATAACGCTGCTACTTGTGTTGGGGGTTGGTAGCAGATTTGCCAATCCCAGGTTTATTTTAATTGATTATGACATAGAGTTTACTCGGATGCAGTTCCAGATGATACGAACCAAACTTTTGACGATCATCGACGAAATGAAGTATTTTTAAGAGATGGTATCCCAATATGGGTGGCGATCACAGGATACATCTTCTTCTCCGTTGTCTCTATCATCGTAATCCCGATCATGTTCCCGGAGGTCAAGTGGTATTACGTAGTCATTGCCTACACTTTGGCACCGTCTCTTAGCTTTTGCAACGCATATGGTGCAGGTCTCACTGACATGAATATGGCCTATAACTATGGGAAAGTGGCCCTGTTTGTGCTTGCCGCCTTGGCCGGCAAAAATGATGGTGTGGTTGCAGGACTCGTGGGATGCGGTTTGATCAAATCTATTGTTTCTATCTCCTCTGATTTGATGCACGACTTCAAGACTGGCCATCTCACCCTTACATCTCCAAGATCCATGCTTATAAGCCAAGCTATTGGGACAGCCATAGGCTGCATTGTTGCTCCCCTCACATTCTTTATGTTCTACAAGGCTTTTGATCTGGCCAACCCAGATGGTGAATACAAGGTCCCATATGCCATAATTTACCGAAACATGGCTATCCTTGGAGTTGAAGGCTTCTCAGCTCTGCCCCAGCATTGCTTGCAGCTGTGTTATGGCTTTTTTGGCTTTGCCATAGTAGCCAACTTGATGAGAGATCTTACCCCTGAAAAAATTGGGAAATGGATCCCGATTCCAATGGCCATGGCTGTGCCTTTTCTCGTTGGTGCTTATTTTGCAATCGACATGTGTGTAGGGAGCTTGATCGTGTTTGTGTGGCACTATCTAAATAGTCAAAAGGCGGGATTGATGGTTCCAGCTGTTGCCTCTGGTTTGATATGTGGAGAAGGTTTATGGATTCTCCCTTCATCAATTCTTGCCTTGGCTAAGGTTAATCCCCCAATCTGCATGAGCTTTTTCTCCTCCAGTAAAAGTTGAAACAAGAAAGAGAGTAGAGCTAAACTTTGTAGTTTAGATAGAATTTTATGCATATTCAAGATGTAGAGAAGCTGTAAACTTTCTGTAACATCTAGAATGCAGTAAGTTTGAAGTAAAAATTCTAAAGCTATGGTCTTGTATACTATCCTGTATGAGTCAAAGCTTAATAAAACGTCTTCTGGTCCATTGAATCATACAAACTGCGTCATGAAAACATATTCTTCACCTTAATACTAGCATTCGTTCTCTGAAAATAGTTGGATGAGTGCTTCTCTGTTGAGTTTGAATCCTCTATGGTTTTTCCATTCCTTGCTACACAATGTTTGTCCTCCTCTACACTAAACAAATTTATTCATTCACATTGAAACATGATTCAAGAGTGTCCACCGTATATCATCACAGAATTAAAGGCATCTATGTTGTTTGTTTGGTACGTAATTTGAATACTTCTAACTAAAATTGGTTTATTTTGATGTCCAAGGGGAAAAGAGCATGAAGGCCACTGTTCATTTCAGAAACGGTAAGAAGGCAACACATTGTGGAAACTGCATGTTACTAATGACGAGAGTTTGCAAGTTACCAACACAAACGAAAACGAACTTTTCAATGACATCTGAACAGATGGAAAGCAGCCAAAAGATACGTAACCAGTCCAATGAGTATTTAGACGCTTGTGAGCAGTGGAGAATTTCGGAAAATTATGCTGCATTTCCACGGGTAATAGTTGGCTCATCTCTTCTAAGCGAAGCAAATCTTGTTCAGGTTGACAATTTGATGCTGCAGAATTTGATTGATCACCAACTCCAATGAACATTTAGAATCGTGGAAAACTATTGGTCCAAATGGCCTCACTGATTTGACCAAAAATCTCTAGGAATGCGTTTGGATCCAGGTGAACTTGTTACCCAAAAAAAGAAGACTACGACGACTTGAGATCACGAGAAAGGAGTTTGATAAAAAAGAGTTTGGGAATGTTAACTGATATTTGGTTCCAGTAATTAAGATGGTTGATGTTGTTGTGTCAGTTATAATGATAGAAGTAGATGCTTAAGTTTCAAATTGCAGAAATAGAAACCGAAAGAAATGTTGTCAAACAGAGTTTGAATTTGGTGATTAAGGATCCTTGACTGTGTGTGTACAGCCAAATATCTTTCATAGATATGTCAGACGACATAAGATGCTGTAGACAGTAGCTGACAATGGTTTGTCTTGTTTTCTCTCGAAAGATGGTTTCACTTTAATGGCTTTAAATCCAAAGGATCACACATTTCAAGAAGCGGCAAACTGCAACGAGACACCAGATAATGTTGATGGTTGGCCTGACCTGCTATTTATTATTACCCTTTTTTTCTCCTCTTGTGACAGGAAGGGTTTGGCAGCAACCAAACAAAGACACAAGTAAGGCCTTACAAAACAATGAACTTTGTTGCAAAATGGATGAGTCCTATTATGGATAGAAGTAGAACAAAGGAGGAGTCCCAGTCCTCTACTACTCATGAATAATGACGTAAATTCTAGTGGATTTGAAGTTTTTGTAAATTCATTTTCCTTCTCAATGTAACATGTTTGCTTAGAGATCCGAATTGATTTTCCCTACTCGTACGGGTTCCTTTTTCTACTTGGCACGTTATGCTCATCTCACCAACACACATGATGCTCGTATCAACAGGTTCACATATTGTGTTGCTCAACATTCAAAGGATCTTTTTCTCCAGGACATCTCTTTCATTGATGACCCAACTCCAAAACACTACTTTCCTGTTCTGTTGCGAGATATTTTAAAGAAATCAAGAGATCTATAAAGATCTGATCTTCGAAAAATATTCACTACACAACGTTTTATCCTTCTTGAGAAAGTTCATTTTCTTCATTGTAGTCTCCTGGATCCAAATGCCCATCCTGCTTTTAAAAAAAAAACTCACAATCAAAGCTGTCCAATAAGACTATCCTCGTGATTTCACCCGCTTTTTTCTATACATCAAAAACTTAATTGATTCGAAAAGGTTAATCACGTAGTAGCTGACTGAAAGATGTCAACTAAATCACTAAATTATAGATTTTGTTAAACTAGAAACAGATTAGAAGTACAAGAACCAAGTTAACATAAAAATTAATCCATCAATGGAGAACAGAAGTTATTACTTCATGTAAAGATACATCAAGAACCGGATATTCTCATCCTTCAAAATTCATTGACTCGTGCATCTCAATACGCTGCTCTTGTTTACTGCTATTATGCAGCCACGGTGAAATAGATCAAGGTGAGGATGCAAAATTATGCAAATTATAGTGATTCATCATTACAATCTGTCGCTACAACTTGATTGAGCTTGAGTTAGCTATAAGAAAGTGAGCAAAAGAAACATCCTGTTACCCCCTCGAATAAGCAAAGAGAGATGCACTTTCTCCGAGCAGAAGCCTAGATAATTAAGGATCCAGGCAGAATAGCACGTAAATTAGCAAACCAACAATTGGGGATTTATTCGTTAAACGAGGTTTCTATCTTCTCATGGAGGGTCACCACCAAATCATGAGCATCGTCCAAGAGTTTCCATATATCAAGTTGCCCAGCCATGCTGTTACACTCCCTTATAATTTCGTCCATGCTATTGTATTTCTCTATAATCAACTTCCTCTTCTGCAATACAGAGGCAGCAATTGCATAGAGCAGCAGATCCTCTGTGGGTGGGGCCCGTTGCCTAATCCTGCTCCAAGCTGATTTACCTACACCAGCTCTAATAGCTGCCTGATCAGCCCACATGACCTCCCAAAGACACAGCGTCTGCTCAAATGTTAATTCCCTTCTAAAGAGTACCACAACCATCCTATAAACAAAAAAGCAATCCTCAGCTTGAAGTTTCTCCAAGTGTCTGTAAAGGTGAGAGTCCTTGAATTTTATGATTCTAGACACAATGTTCAGTTGCTTTCGAATCCCCACCTCATCAAGCCTAAAGTTATGCCGAGCTTTCCGCATGAAGCCCACAAAGCACCAGAATGCCTCCTGATCTTCAGTTATCACAGTAATTATAGGAGAAAGCAGATCACTCATTCCTTGGCAATACCCAATTTCAGGATCATAAAGAGCATATGCTTCAAGAATGGTGACCAACCTAGCAGCATGAAAGATCCTGGAGGGCTCTAGGTGATCATAATCTTTCAAACCAACCACCTCTGCAGAATGTCTAGCCTTGTCATCTGACACCGCTGCTTGGGATGGTGCATATGCTATCCATTCTGAATTCGCACGTACTGCATCAAGACGAATGATCCTTTGCCATGTTGTAAAATCTTCATTGCTGCGAAATTTGGATGTAACCTCTGCAACGGAGGGAGAAGAATTTTTGGAAGTGAAATCAGGATCATTATCTTCTCTACCATCAGAAGAGGGGAATGTTTGACTAACTTCAGGATCCTCAGATGAATCGGAGTCGGATGATTCAGTATTTGGAGCAGATGCATCAGCACTAGTCATCCTTCTAGAACTGTCATCCTCTTCCAAGAAAACCCCCGAGGTTCCATCCAAGTTTCTAAAGTTTGAGCCCCTTTCATCACTAGAAATAGACTCTCTTGCACTAACCACCTCTTCCAAACTAGGACAGTCGTCACCATGAGCAACATACTGATTGTCCCCCTCCTTGTTGTAGTTTGTCTCACCATCATTCAACTTTATATTCTCATCCCTCTCCTTGTTGGAGTTCATATCATCATCATTCAACTTTGTACTCTCATCGCCAGACTTCAGTAGACCTCTGCATTGTTTGCGAAGTCTTTCATATTCTTTCCTGCATTAATATGCAGACCACTTTTAAAATGCCAACTTGCAACATTGCTACAGTAGGTAAAATACCCACAAACTTGTCCGAGGAAAATAGAGTGAAATAATATTAGCAATTGAGAACACATACCTCTTCTGTAATCTTACAGCATCTCTTTCTTCTTCAGAACTGCTTAAGTCATAGCTGTTGAAAACACAAGTAGTTCTGTAAATACACGTTTTGTGTACCACATGAAGTTGAACAATTCGAAGCATCACATACACATAGCATAGCAGCACCGCAAGTACAACCACCATATAGCATGGCATGAATCTTTCAAATGAGGGAGTTGCTATGACTTTTTTTTTTTTTGAACAAGATACGAACTTCTCATTGATTAATGAAAAGGAACAAAATGTTCAAAAGATACAAACTCCCAAAGGCTACGATAAAAGAAAAAAGACGAGGCAACATAAACTTCCAAATAGAGTCTCCCAAAAGCAATGAACCGCAAAAAGAAGCTTCAAGAACCTTTAAAAGCAATAACATCGTCCAGGACATCTTTACCATCTGGAAACAACTCTTCAAACTTCTGAGAATATTTGGCCAATATTTCTAATACCTTCGGCAAGCTCTCCTTCCCATTCAGCTTGAATCTCCATCTTTCTTATAGAGTGTGCTTCAAAAAGAGAGCTTTTTCTTTGCGAATATTGACAAGTTCGGACTTAAGAAAGGATAAATAAGCACCCAATTGGGAGGGAGATAAGCTTGAGATGAACTTGAGGGAAGAAACAATGTCTTCTTGAGAAACTTGCAAGGGAAGATCTATGAAGCCAAGTTATTTTACTAGCTCTTGGCTGGTGTAAATGTTTCTACCCCTTTAATAGCTATTCTCTAAATGCCCTTATTACAAGTTGGCAAACTTTCTTGTAATTGTCTATATGGCTTTTTGTGTATTTCATACCATCAATGAAATATTGTTTCTCATCAAAAAAAATCATAACACGATATGAGTATTAAACCATCACCCTCCTAGTACCCAGTAAGAC